TACATCCGATAATTTTTGATTAGGATTGGATGCATTGGATATCGTATGGCTTGGCGGAACACTACGGTTTCACTCCGAAGTGATCGCAAAAATGTATTGTATTAAGTTAGTTGAGTTTTGCTGATCAAAACAGATTTGTGCACTAAAATTCTTATGTTATATTGTTGACACTCTTTTGTGGAGATTGCACGCCAGTCTGCTGTCTAGGTATAGCTTAAGTATTTGACTTGATTGGAAGTCGATAACTCCTGTTTGTTGATGTACAGTGGAGGGCATGACTGTTTTTTTTAATGTAAATGTACACCGGGAATATTTTTACTCATTCGTTCTTATCCTCCTGGTTTGTATCATTCTGTGATAAACTCAAGGTATTCTTGGGGGTTGGGGGTTGATTGGATAGGATTTGGGTTAGAAGACAGAATTGGTCGTCTGCATTGGTAGTAATGATGGTGTGGGGACGTGTGAGAATGTCAGTAGTATAATAATGGTATATCTACTATATCGCCCCTTCGTTGGGGGCTGCGCCGGCTTATCCAGGCCAAGGAAGGACGAAGAGGCTCTCGCGTGATTTTGCCTTTTATTTGAGGTGCTTAATAGAGGAAGATGCCCCTTATTTTTTCAGGCAAATCCTCGGAAGGACCCCAAAGAGGCGAGGACACCGAACCGGAACCCCTTCCCCCATATCACGGCCAACAGAAAGTTAGGAAGGCTGGGTCTTCCTAATGACCTAATAAAATTATAAAAATAATCTAAAAAGTGTTTTTTTAACTAAACACACCATTTATTTTTATGCCGTATATTATTAATTGTTAATGCATTTCTGGCCACGTCCCTGGTCCCTCTTCAGAGCTCACTATTAGTAGCATAAAAATATAAATAAAATTTATTTAAATGGATAAATTGTATCAATAAGTTGAAGAAATTGAGGAGAAAGTAGTGGTACACACAGTCGAAGGTTTTTTCAAAATCTAATATGTATGTTTAAGTTAAAGTTGTACGTTTTTACGATAGTTAACTTGACCAGTTGAGAAGTAATGTAATACATGATCGGAATTGGTTTTTGGTTATTTTATTTTTTTTTTTTCATTAAATGTAACTGAATTCTTGTAAGAAGGACCGTCACAACTATTTTACTCAAACAAGGTAGCAAAGAGATTGGACTTCGTCCGAAGCTTCAATACACAGGGTGATCGGCTACTCGTGTTACAAACTTTCACAGTAGATTTTACATTCAAAATGGAACAAAAAAGTCCTAATTAACTATGGCCCGAATGTCTTCAGTTTGGGAGTTATTTCACTTTTTCTTATTTTTTAAGATTTCACGACCTTGCTTCAAATAAACAATGATAACTCCAAAATTAAAAGGTTTTTGACAAATCTGTTGATACCATTGAAAACTACGTTAAATTTCCATTAAGATTAATACTAACCTTGTAAACGTCTGTGAAATAAGCGTTTTAGTTACGAGAACTTTGAATTTTTTTTTAAATTTAAAAGTCTGCTATGATGATTCTAAACTACTATTTCCAAACCTAGAGACCAGCAAATTTTGGAAACGAACTCCATTTAATATCCTTTTTAGTGGTGCAATTGCTTTGTTAATTACTTTTTTCAAAGATGAAGAAATTGATGAAGGAAAAGAAACAACCGCGGTTGAAGGATTGGTAAGGTGGAAAGATTAATAATAATAAATAATAAAATTTAAATTTTGTTTAAAATTTTGAATGAATTTATTAAACGTTTTTCAATTTCGATTCTAAATGCTCTCCACTCTCCGCAATGAATTTTCGATGCGCTACCGATGCTCAAACCCTGATACATACAGGGTATACATACAAAAACTGATACATAAGATGTATATCGGCCAATTCTTCATTATAAAAAGTACCCAGTGTTAACAACATATAACATAGATAACAAAAAATGTTTAGAATCTTAAAACGTTCATTCTAGGGAATAATAATACAATAATCCTTTAATCAAAGTTGCAGTCGTGTTGGTAAATAGAGGAACAATTGCACTATTTCGGTTTCGAACCCAAAATAAAAAAACATTTAATAAATTCATTCAAAATTTCCTTAAGTTTTTTCTAATTTTTCACCTTACCAACACTTTTTTCCTTTCCTTTTTTTGAATTACTTTTCAACTTTGAAAAAATAATTCAAAAAGGATTTACACCCCTAAAATGGATATTAATTGGAGTACGTTTTACGAAATTTGCTGATCTCTAAGTTTGGAAATAGTAGTTTAGAAAGACCATAGCAGGCTTTTCAAGCTGAAAAAGAAAATATTTTCCAAAGTTCTCGCTAATAAAACGCTTATTTCACGAACGTTTACAAGTTTAATATTGATCACATCATATTGAAAATTTAACGTACTTTTCAATGGTCTCAACGGATTTGTCCAACACCTTTTAATTTTGGAGTTATCATTGATTTATTTGAAGCAAGGTGGTGAAATCGTACAAAATCAGAAAAAGTGGAATAACTCCGAAACTTAATTCGGACCATAGTTAATGAGGACTTTTTGGTTCCATTTTGAATGTAGAATGTACGGGCAAAGTTTTTAACACGAGTAGCCGAACACCCTGTACGTCATACGTCCTATCGCACAGGATGCCAAACGTCGTAACAGAAAGTATCAGCTTTAATCTATTACCAGATGTGTAAAGAATGGCAAGGGTTAAAATTAAACAAGAAATCCATAATGAAATAGAGAATAGAGGCACCAAACGAAAAAGAAAAAAAAATTATTTATTTAAATAAGCCTTATTTTTATGTGATGGGATCAAAAATGAATTACATATAATTTTATCAGCAGAGGTCACATATTCCCTTTTTCATCAATTATCTTTACTAACAACAATAAAAAGTTATTTGTTTTTTCGGGTTTTACTAATTATACGGGCTGTATAATTAGTATTTGGTCGGCCTAACCGCAAATAAACATTTAAGTTTGAATCATTGCCAAATAAAATATAGATGAGGCAGAACAATCGAAAATAATATGAATCTGTTTTGGAACCAGAAATAATTCAAAAACATGCGAACAAGCTTAGTCAATTTTGGTTAATTTTTAATTAAGAAGAGCTATTAGGTAAATAGTTCAATTAGTTTATTTCAATTGAACCCGGTCAAAGGAGTGAAAATTATTTGCCCATTTTGTACATAATAAATTTATTCGAACCGTCTCAACTATTGGTTATTTTATGTTGTTTGCAAAAACGTGAAAAGTTAATTTCCTACTATAAAACTTAAGAATTCGCCATTATAATATGAATAGCATCCTATGTAAAACGATACACAAAACATAAATGAAACATATTATAACCCGCCGAAGTTGGAAGACGAAAACGTTGAAGTAGTTCATTCAATTAGGACTATGACACAAGGCAGGTTTTTTCGTACCTGACACTCGCTGCGGTTTCATTAGCAGTATCGTGACGGTTATTTCAAAGAAGTCAACGTCTCGTTCATGTCGTTTTCCTATATTGACAATTATTATAGTTGTTTTTACATTGTTTATTAGTGCAATGGATGAAAAACAAGTACTTCTGCTGTCCCTGCTATATTACCATTGGAAAAGAAAGAACGCAAAAAGTTGGCCATGAAATATGGCCAAAACCGACTCGACTCACCTACTCGGTTTCAAAACCGCCAGGCGATACGCACCAAACCGTCTGTCACGTCTCACTCTCAAGAAGGAAACAACCCACTGACTTGGTTTTCCTCTCGGTAAACGGTTCGGTCAAAACCGCTACGTGTGTCATAGCCCTTACCTACCTAGGAAGCGTTTCAAAATTTAGAGGTACTGAGGACGATGTGAAGAGTAGAATTAGAAAGCTAATTGCGTATTTATACAATTATATCCGACTTGGAGATATTGAGCCAACTCCAATTGAACCAGACTTAGACTCTTGAACACAAATGTCAAGTCCGTCCTATTATATGGATGTGAGATTTGGAAAGTGACGAATGCTCTCCAGGTTTTTATGACCTGTAGTGGATTCTCGGAAAGAACCGCCAGCTTCCCATACATGCTGATGTATGCAAAAGAACATGGAAATAGGATAGGGATAAAAGAGGCGGCCACAAGGCCTACTGCACCTCGACCTGAATAGACCTATTGTGCTCCCCTGTTATTTATAACTCACTGGCCAGCTTCAGATTATTAATCAGCCTTCACAGCTTTGCCAGCGGCTCCTTAGTGTAGGTTCATGGTTGTGGTTTTTCTTGTCCTAGCTGCAAGAACCTGCACCTACAAAGACCTTCGCAGAAACATAGAATGTTCTGCGGTCTTCTCCTCTTCCTGGCAGTATCTGCACAGTTTCTTCTGTCTGTACTCCTATCCAGTGCATGTACCTACTTGAGTGGCCGTGCCCTGACCGGAGTCCAACCAGAATCCTGGTTCGGTTGTGGTTGCCTTCCAGTAATTCCTTTGCAAGTTTTTCGGACAGACACTGAAGAAAAGGGACGACGCTGTCGAGAGAAGTGCCCTACCCGGAACCCGCAAGGACAACCCAAGATTGGAAAATAATTAAAAAGTGTTGATATTCGTACAAAAGAATAATCTATCAAACGTAAATAGTTTATTATATAGAGGGGTTATGGAAAGGAAACATGAAAGCCTGCATTATTTTCCGGTCAATCCGATAAAAGAGGAAGAGGTGGCACCTTGGGTTACTAGGAAGTATCGGTTTCTTAGGAAGGTTTGGAAGATTAGAAAGTATTTAAATGAAAGGATGCCCTTTAGGTTCCACCACAAGCCCTCGTGCCAAGAAGATATGTCAAGGAAAATACCAAGGCAGTATTGTTAAAGCTAGAATGAGGTTTCGATGGTGCGACAACACGGTGGGCTTGCCGAACAGTCGAGTGGTAGCCGCGAAAAACGCATTGGTGATTAAGGTTAATATTTAAGAGTTGGATGCTGTTCTTTAGTCGAAGATATAGACGATTTCAAGTAATTTGCCAAAAAATATATGTAAATATTGATGAAACACATCGAAAAAATGTTGCGTTTATTTGTCGAGTTGTTTTTTAATAAAATGCATCACATGACAGCTTTTTATCGTATTTTGTCAAAATAATCAATTTACAGGCAAGAACGGGAAGGTTTATTAGCACAAATTCCTCCTAATAATGTGATCTATAGTTTTGCCGCATTCTGGGCAAGGGCCATTCTTCCGGAACAGATCTCGGGCGCACTTGTAGCAGAGGGAGCAATGGGCGGTCCTGTCGTGCACCAAGAACGCGTTTGGCCGCCCTTCGCCGCACTCACCGCACACACGGTCTTCCTCGTCGGACGTGTCCGTCGATTCATCGCTCGAGTCCGTCCTCGCCGATTCCATGTACGCCCGAAGGTACTCCCTTCTTTCAAGCCTCGCAAGCCTTCTTTCTGTAAATAAAATCAACATTTTCACGTCAATTTGCTATTTATATAGGTTTTTATAGTGTATGCTTAATCTCCATAAAACAGAGAGAAACTTAATAAAGAAATGCTAAAAACAATTCCCCAGCCCGAGCTGAACATTCTCGCTAAGGATGAGTTCGACTGTCTTCGTTATTTACAAAACCGAGTCTTTATCAAATATGATGACCGGTCTGGACTGTAAGGGCGCTGACAGACGGAGCGGTTTTGCTACGTTGTGACACACGGAGCGGTTTTGACCGAAGCGTTTACCGCTTCGGTTTTGCTAAACTACTTTTAATTTTTCATACTATAATTTAAAAGGCACAGAGCTGGGATTTGAACGAGGTCCCCTTCCTCCTCCAGATAATATTCAAAACAAAATCTTTATTAAACTAGTTACTACCATGTATCACCGACAGTCATACGCATACTTTGTACCCGTAAAGCTGTAGAAATCATTTAATTATAAGGTGATGTACTTTCAAGTAGTTGTAAAGTTAAAAGAGGCCCTGGAGGAAGGTGAGTTCGTTTTAAAAACGGTTGTGTTACTGTACAGCACCGTACAATCTGTAAATACTTAGATTTTCCCCCCCATTTTTAGTGGTGGTTAAGTATCAATATGTAAAGCTTAGGCGTCAGGAAGTTGAGAATTAGCTAAAATTCTATTATTTATTAATCTTATTGAACTGGCATTGGCCCATTCCCCATGGAGTTCCCATGGATGAAGAGATACTTCTGGTGTCTCTGTTGTACTATCGTTGGAAGAAGAGAATGGAGAAAAAACACAGGAGAATGTGGGTTCATCCAATTGTCGAGAAGAGAAGCGAAAGAGGGCATTTTAAGAATTTGTTTTCAGAGATGAGGAAACACCCTGAAGAATGTTTTAACTTTACCAGGATGTAAATGGGCAGTTTTGACGAGTTACATAGTAAAATAAAATGCCGCATTACAATTTTTTTTCTCCACGTCTATTTTTTGCATCTTAAAAGTAAATTAGAAGACTGACAAACAAACAACCCTTCAAGAAAGTGGGGTACGAACAGCTCAAATAAACGCCACGTGTGTCAGGGCTAATGCAATACTTGGGTACCACTCACCGCCTGGCGTTTTCAAAACCGACGCGTTGGGTCGTCTCCGCCACCGACCGACTCGGTTTGAAAACCGACAGGCGGTTACGACCGCTACGTCTGTCAGGTTAATGCAACAGCAATGAACGACTCACCGCCTCGATTTTTCTCGCGATAAACGCTTCGGTCAAAACCGCTCCGTGTGTCATCGCCCTAAGCTGGTCCTTAAGGCTAGTGCACACTTGCACTCCAAAGTTGCGCGTTATTGTTGCAGGGCTGAATTCGTTTGAGCTAGGAGTGTTGAGATTCAGCCCCGCAACATGACTCTTGTGTCTGGACTGTATTGCGGGTCTACATGATTCAGGATTTTGAGTCCCATCGAAACGGGAATCAGTGATACAACGTTGCAACATAGCAAGTGTGGACGCGTGTTCCTGGGGCAGCGTGGTTGCGAGATTAACAGTAGGGGAAATTGAATTTTTAAATTTTTTGTTTTCTTTAAACAACTTCGGCGCAACCATTCCTAAAAGATTTTCAAAATCTTAGATTCATTTTTAAAAAGTTGATAAATCTCATTCCATCTTCTAGCCTTGATGTGTACAAAATATTGCGGTTCTTACTAAAGAATTTTCGGACCCACCATCTTCTTTGATTTCTTTTATTTCTATTTTTAATTAATAATAACAATGAGAAACACCCGCGAGGCCTAACTCCTGAGACATTTTCTAGGGAACTGCCTCTGTAGTGTGGACATGACTTATTGTTGCAGGGCAGCCCACAAACAGACGCGCAACTTTGACCCTAGTTAACTAAGCTTTAAGGTCGGGGCTCGTGTGATGTTGCGGAGAAATATGACGTCAAGTTTAGATTGGTCAAGGTATCCATTGGCACTATTGAACAAGTCATATGGGTCATTGACGAGCGCTCCGTTATACATAAACTGAAGATAAAGTTCTCGCATGGCTTAGTGATGACATAGAACGGATTTCGACCTAGTTTGAAGTCATCAGCCGATCTTAAGTTGCACCGGTATCAATTTCCCATTTGCTTGGTTTACGCCATTATGATTTATAAAACTTTATAAACGGATTAAATTTGTCAAATTCTTTATTGACATTGGTAACTCAATATTCTCGTACCGCCAAGCGTACCTGGGTCTGTCCAGGTTGATAAGCCTCCAGGGAGTTTCCCTGGTTAACTTTGATCTCTCTCAGGAAGGCCAAGGATAGTGCGATTGTTGTTTATAACCGTCTAGGATCATTGTATAGGCCAGACTTTATGTCCAGTATTACTAAAAAAATATCGACGTATGTTGATAACGCCCAAGGGGCCATCTCTAAGCTCCTCAACAGTGGTCGAAACGATCTTGTAAGAGAAAATCTACGACATGCATAATCGCTCCTGTGCCTAGAAAAAACCAAGACGACGTCCACGATGCTGAACAAAAAAGTATGATATCCCAACAAAAACCTAATCGTGAAATAGGGTCAAGACACGCTCCCAAAAAATTAGCCTAACGTCCAGAAGAACGACGTCTCACACTTTTATTGACGTTATGTTGTCTTATTTAAGGACGGATAAATCTAAGTTCACAAATAATGGGATACCGACAATATTATAAGTCCGTACATCGGCGCGAGAAAACACCGCATGTCACGTTCGAGAATCACGACTAGACAATTTTTTTCAGATTTTGTTTGTATCTATATTTTCAGTAATATAAATATCGACCACTTTTTCACTCAGGAACCCATATGCAGACCAAAGTACATATTTGTACATACTGTATAAAACTTACATATGTCATTTTACAGACATATTTAAGATTGTTTTGCCCTGATGATGACATTAAAATAGTTCGAATGCTTGGCAGTAACAACTGAATTTGCTTTCTTCTTCAAGACCATACCTTGATCCAAAATGTTCGTATCAACATATTGTTAATTTTTTCTCAGTATCTTTTTTTTTAACTTCCTCATAGCTAGTCCCAATCCTTGTGGATGGGGGACGATAAAAGACAAAATACTATTTTTTTTAAATAATTTTATTCCGGGAAAAATTCTTTACCAAATGAAGGCTCTCGTTGAAAGAAAATCCTGCAGGAGACATCACAAGCAATACCAAAATTCATTATCGAGGAAGGTTTTTTTCGAGCCATTTATCTCGCGTTGTTGATGAGCCACGAACTTGACGACAATGACGGGCCCGTATTGTCCACACAATTGGTGTTAGCATATGAAATATGTATATTTTTGACTATTCTGGGTCGTTTATATCCATGAAGTCACATTTGTGATGTTATCTTCAGTCTCGCTGATGTATAGGGCACCGTGAAATTTTGTGATTTGGACCTGATCAATTTAGTTAATGGTTCGAGATGGTTATATTTCTTTTACTTCTTTCTTTTTTAATCGATAGAGACGTGATCTTGGTGCCTTTTATTGGTCACAAATTGAATTTAATTTAGTTTTTCCGATCTTTAGTTTTTTCGGTTTTCTTGCGTCGTAAAAAAAATAATTAAAATTCAAATGCAGTTTCTACTATCAAATGTTAACTAATACTCTAACCTGTTAAATTAAGTTAATTTTGTTCAAATCGATCGACTAGTTCGCTATCTCGCATAAGAGTAAATGGAGTCCCCGCAGCACGGCGACAATCGTGAATGCTAGCTCATGCAAAGATGAAATGAGAGGGAATAAGTTACTTTTAAATAGTCGCCGAATGGATCTTCACGACAGTATTACTTTCATATCCATAACATTTAAACTTTAGATGACGTGGCCTCTCGAAAATTCACATTTTTCGTGAGCCAACTTTTCTTGGAGGCCCCCATACCGAAGTGGAAGACGTTCATCGAATACACGTGATGCCTTACAAAAAATAAAGGGGGTAACAACCTGGGTTGTCCATATGAAATGGGACGCTCTATGTATGAAGACTGATTAACGGATTACATCACCTTTCGGATATTAAGTAGGCCCGGCAAAAAAACAAGAGTTGAGCTGCCTCTATAGATGCTAAAAATTGTGGAATTCGAATGGAAATATGCCGGCAAAAATGCTTATAATAATGTACAATAAGACTTCATACATTCGAATTCGATCATCCAGTCCGAATGCATAGCGTACTATAAAATATAAAATCAAGCAAGTATTTTCGAGATTCATAGGCCGTAAAGCTCAGTGTTGCTAAATGATAACTGGAGGAATTATTAATATTTTAATGATTTGTGTAAAAGCCTACATGCAACAACTAAAAACTGTGTATATAAGTATATTGCTGTATATAAACTTCTTCCTCGGACATAACCTTCGCATAGCTTTTACAAATATTGAAGCCATTTAATCTTTAAATGTAACCAAGGCATAACCTCCGCCTAGTTTATTTAATTTTAATTTAAAACCAAAACGTAACATCCCATCCTTTGTCCGTCGTACGGATACTACTACAAATCTTGAACCCGTGACCTAACCTTCGCCTAGTTTTTACATAACACTAACATAACTTGAAGCAAAAAAACTTGAAAATTGAACCAGGGCTTAACCTCCGTTTAGTTTTTAGAACACATTAGGAAGTTTACCTTTAAATGTAACATGTAACCTTTAAATGTAAAGTAAGTTTATAACAACAAAAAATTGTGGAATTTGAATGCAAATATGCCAGCAAAAAATGCTTGTAATAATACAGACTAACACATATGAACACATATACGAATTCAATCATCCAGTCCGAATGCATAGCAAATATAAAATATAAAATCAAGCAAGTATTTTCGAAATTCATAGGCCGTAAAGCTCAGTGTTGCTAAATGATAACTGGAGGAATTATTAATATTTTAATGATTTGTGTAAAAGCCTACAGGCAACAATCCTTTTAATAACGAGACTAATAGGTCCGGGGAAGCGGCTTCCAGCGGAATTGAAAGGAATATTATCTCTTCTAATAATTGCTTTAAATATTATAATAGACAGAACAACTTCATCAACTCTATCACAAACTGTATATAATTTATGCACAAAATACTAAATATCAAGAATAGTTGATAAAAAATATTACAACGTACTTATTTTTGCTGACTAATTTAAGAGATTGCAGCTAATAAATCATGTTTTTACAAACAAAACTAAATAAAATAATGCAACCATACATTTTAAATAAAAGTTGAAAGTCAAATTGGAGGCTGCGGATATGTATTGGGTTGTCCGGAAAATAATGCAGGATTTTAAGTTTTCATTAAAAAAAATCTATATAAAATATTCTGTTTACGTTTACAGGATTACTCATTTGTATGAATGTCAACACTTATTAATCCTCTTCCAAATGATATTGTTTGTTTACCTCTGTAGCATTCCGCTACTTGGAAATAATTCAGTCATCCTTATAATGTCAAAGCGAGAATTTCGTACGATTTTCTTTTACGAGTTTAAACTCGGCCGAAGCGGAGCCCAAACGGCTAGAAACATTAACCAAGTCTGGGGCGAGGGTTGTGTTAATGAGTGCACTGTGCAAAGGTGGTTTAAAAAATTTCGGGAGGGAGATTTCAGCCTTGAAGATGAAGAAGGTCGTGGAAGGCCTTCCTCTCTTAATGATGATGTTCTGCGATCAGTGGTGGAAGAAAACCCCAAAACAACTGTTCGAGAACTTGCAGAGCAACTCAAAGTCAGTAAAACGACCGTCGCTGACCACCTCAAGGCGATTGGAAAAGTGAAAAAACTCGAAAATTGGGTTCCACACTCATTAAACGATCGCCAAAAAAATCAGCGCTTTGATGTTTGTGCATCACTTCTTTGTCGAAACAAAAATGACCCATTTCTGGCCAGAATTGTTACATGTGACGAAAAGTGGATTCTCTACGATAACACTAGACGTTCTGGACAGTGGCTCGACAAAGGAGAAGCTCCAATACATTTTCCAAAGCCCCCAACTCATCAAAAAAAGGTAATGGTTACGGTATGGTGGGCTTCATTTGGTTTAATACACTACAGCTTCTTAAATCCTGGCGAAACCATCAATGCTGAATCATACTGTAACCAAATTAATACCATGCATCAGAAATTGGCAGTAATGAAGCCCTCTTTGGTCAATCGGAAAGGGCCCATTTTGTTGCATGACAACGCTCGACCACATGTGTCACGTGTAACGTCACAAAAATTATTGGAGCTTGGCTATGAAACTTTGCCTCACCCACCCTACTCTCCGGACCTCTCGCCTACTGACTACCATTTTTTTAGACACCTGGACCACTACTTACAACACATAATATTCAAAAATCAAACGGAACTGGAAAATGCATTTATTGACTTTATCAATTCTAAAAATTCTGAATTCTACTCAGACGGAATTAATAAGTTACCAACACGTTGGGAGAAATGTATTGAGAGTATGGGAAATTATTTTGATTAAAGAACATTGCTTTAAAGTAACTAGTTTCTTTTTTTTTGTTTAATACCAAAATCCTGCATTATTTTCCGGACAACCCAATAAATTATGCACGTATTTTGTTCGATAATGAACTCGTGCGACTATAAAATAAATAGTAAAAATTTACAGAATAATATACCTCAAATTTCACAAAACTGCAACAATTTCTTATTTAAAAGTTTTTGCTATTAAATTAAATTATTATTCATAGGCGCACATGAATTATTATGAAGATTGTGGATGGTGAAGAGGAAACAGGGCTGCTTTGAAGTTTATATAACTTATAAAAAGACAACTGTTTTTATTGTTCTTAGCAAAATAGTAAAAAAAATTTTAGAGTGGCGGCTTCTAAATTTACGTAATGGAAACATTGGGATGGCATCGTTATTGCAGGTATAAGGACAACATGGTACACTGAATTGGCACCCGGTGCTACGGACCTACTACATCCCTTCACATCACCCCATACGTTAACTGCCATTAGCGGTAAAATCCTTTAAAAAAAAGGTAAACCCCATCCTTGAAAGCTCCCTGCAATTCCGTTTTATGTTGTCTGTTACTATCATCAAATTAAACCCTTACAGTCATTCATTGACCACTATTATCGTTCGAGCAAACAAACTAACTTAAATTACTGTGAGCCAATAGATGCAAGAAAACTGTTACAACTCAGAAAGGGGTAGTACAGCTGAATTTTTAAAGTTTTGTGTTTTCGCTTACGTTTTGGAGAAACGAAACACAATATTGATGGATCATGACTGTTATTATTGTCCACGATCGTAATGGCTCGTACTTAATACATCCGTCAAAAAAGTAAATTTCCATTTGTCTATCATGTAAAATTTTCTTTTGTTATGTCATTTTTCTTGTGGGTGTACGATATGTAGATGATACCGTCTTTCTTTCAGCAAACCCAGACACAGTAGTGGCTTAAAAAACTCTAGGACCATCTCTTCTTTTTGGAAAAATAGTTCAATAAATGGAGAATCAGACTCAACAAAACTGCAAATAATCTTCACTCTTCTCGTCCTTTCTACCATAACTCTGTTCCTTACCATGCATCCAGTGTCTTCCGCTATTTGGGACTTTACATCGCTACACTTACTGGGAACCCCCACACTCGACTCAAACGAACAGAACTAATCTCAAAAGACTTCTTGGCAACATATCGAAACATACACTGCAAAATAAATGTTCTCGACTTCAATACAACCATTGATCAAGACCTAACATATCATCTACCTCTCTCTCCCCTCCGCTGAAACTATTCATACCCAATTAAGTATCCACAAGCTCACTCCTAAAGAAAGCTCCTGGTTTCGACCTTCCCCATCCTTCATTCCTATAGCCTTATTCCTGACCACCACTTTGGGTTCAAAATTCTCACTCTACTATTCAGCAGAAAAATGAATATATTGTATTTTACATCAGGATTGACTCCCTTAATCAGATACGCCATATACGTACAGGAAATCCTCGAGGAAAAGCCACCGGGATATCCTTGGGGAATTCCTCTAACGAACCTGCGCCCGCAAAAGGAGAGGATTATCCTGAAGGAAATCCTCAAGGCCTAGTCCTTTGCTGACTAGTTGACCTAGTTCGCCAAAAGGAGGAAAAAGAAGTGATTTTGTTTGGGATTTTTGGGCCTCTCTTTCCCACCGCGGCCTGAAGACGCCGCCAAAGATGTAAAGGAATTCCTCAAGGCTTGGACTGTTCAGGCCGAACTATCTGCTTTTAAAGTTTCCAACCTTTCCACAAGGCAGAGATCTAATCGCCTTTTACGACAAGCAGAAAGTGGTGTACTTTAAGCCCCAGGAGCCAACAGGACAAACTTTCAATACTTGGCCTATGAGACCAGATTAAGACGTCCCGCCAATTAATTAAAGATCCAAAAATATTTAGTCGAAAAGCATCTCTACTATAATGAACATAGAGAGACAATAAAAAATGATCTAGCATAAAATACATTCTAGATAGAATCAACAGTAATCAAAGAGATAATTAGAATGCGTAGTCAACAACTGTTTATTAAACGCGTTTCTCCATGGGAAGAGAATCAATCAACTGTGTAGGTATTACATATGACCAAACACGATTTCAAGCATTTCACTTTCAAATTACCAGTTTGTTATTATCTAGCACCAATAATTACAAGACAACATACAAAGAAAAAACAAAATATAAAGACCCATCAAAAGCGGACACAAAGACATTTTATAATTCAAGAAAATAATAGTTAAATATCTGCCATGGAATGGTAAAGGTCAAACGAAACATTGGCCAAATGTAAAGGGAGAGTAATGTATTATTTAGACATACCAGACAGAACTTTGATCCAGAAAGTGCTACATATCGTTTGATGTTCATTGGGCATATAGATCTGCAGTTTTGACTAATTTTCTGCATCTGTAGGATAACACCTACATAGAAGTACATTATGACATACAAACAAAAATTATTGCAAAACTAAAAAATATATAATTTATGTTATAATAGTATGTCAGAAAAAGTTGTTCGATCATAAATGTTGACAAAGACAAAGATTGTCTATAATTATCCCCTCCTTTTTAAAAATAATGTGTTTTAAACAATAGCTAACAATATTTTTTCAAACTTTTAAACATTTTCTATCAATTCTCAATTATTTTAATAGTTTGTATATAATAAACGCTCAGGATACAAAAATTGATTTACCTTCTTCATGATCGTAATCTGAATCGGAAGTGCTGTCCATGCTGCTGCTGCCCAGTCGGTTCGGCAAGTTAGAGTACATCGGGTTAGGGACTCTCACATCTCCTTTCATGTTGTGATAGTTTCTCTCAGGGACAAAAAGTACGTCGTTGTCTGTGCTCGCGGTATGCGAGGCGGACGGGGGCCTCCGCAGAGCAGGTCGCCTTCTGTTCGGCCTGCGTGGCATCCAAGTCCTTCTGGCCTGGAAACAAACGGTGTCAGAGGTCATCCAAAGCATACAACACGCATACGTACATTGTAGCAGTTCCTGCAGTATCTGGCCTTTGTGGCGAGTGGCGCACTGCAGCGCAGGCACTTGTTCTGGTCTTCGCTGAAGCGACACTCGGACGAGCCGTTCTCGTCATCTGCGAAGCTGTTCCTGCTGTCGACCGCACCTCTTTTGTGTTCGCCCATCCCGCCGGGGAATGTCTTAAAACGAAAATATGATTTTTTGGTGCCTAGGATATCAACAGTGGCTCAAATTTGGACTTACTCGTCCGCTGATGTCTGCAAACGAGTCCTTGGATATTGTTCGTTTTGAAAGGTTTTTATTTGCGTTCCCCATTTATCGACTCAGCCAGATTCATTTCATTAACTCATGTATAACAGTGGTACGGTGCTAGCCGTGTTATAAATGGGAAGTGAAAAATCTTGATTTGTTTACTTGGTTTGATTGAATATGTGGTGTTGAGAGTAACATGTGTGATATTAAATAAATCCATGTGGAATACAGGTAGAGGTAAGTTGTTTTTCATCTCACCTTGACGTCATTTCTGAAACAAAATTTACAGCTTAACTACATTTTTTTATGTACGATACGTTGGGTAGATTAATCAAAAGTTATAACTAGATGATAAAAACTTCTACATGAAGTACGGTAATAGAAATGTATGGTGTTTAGTGACCGTTAGCGGTCTGGTGTGACGTAGGTTTTAGAAAAGCATTTCTTTATCGTGCCAACGTTTCGATCTTTATTGAGATCATCTTCAGGGCTCTAAGTGTTTGTTTTCCGTGTGTTTTTTCCTCAACACGACCCACAAGAATGACACATCTACTCGGAAAACAAACACTTTGAGCCCTGAAGATGATTTCAATAAAGATCGAAACGTTCGCATGATAAAATGTTTTTCTAAAACCTACGTCACACCAGACTGCACCTCACGACCTCCAAATAATAATTACGTTAATAGGTTTAAGAAAAACATTAAATTAAGATATAATCATAGTTTATTCATTACTGTCTGAAAAATGATATTTGCCAATTTTTTTCATTTTAATAAGGTGGATGAAAAAGTAAATAATAATACTATACTTTATTATTTGTATAGTAATAACAATTAAATAAGAAAAAAAAAGTATTATACAGAGTGGAAAAAGAAAATCCGTCTGTCGGAGGTCGCTGGATAATATAAAGGAGCGATAGTGCCTTTTTTCACAAGCAAAGGAAAAAGTAAGAACTACTTTATAGGAAAAAAATTTTTTTTAAAAAATGATTAATTAGAAATTGAATTCCACCACTAAATCATGACGGTAGTGCCAGGCCTGTCGAGCACATTTAATTAAATTCCTAAACTTATACTTAAATAGAACATTAAGAACTTTACTTTAACTTAACTTACTTAATTACTTACTTAATACTTACTTTATTTTATTTAGAACTTTTTTTTTAACGAGGGTTCGCAACAGCAGAGGTTATATCAACCCTCGGGGTGCCGGCGTTTTTGAAAAAAGCCCATTTATAAGTATGTCGGGTTCGAATGCAGGGCCGCTGGATCCGAACCCAGGACCTTTGCCTTACAGTGACGAGCGCCGTGTCAACGCCTAAACCGTTGCGGCCACCGACACCCCCAAAAACCTTTTTAACCTTGCGCAGTGGCAATATCGTAATCAATGAAGTTCTACTAGAACATTAAACTGGACTTTTGCAATTACAGAATAATTCAAGTGTAAACGGCGGATCTCTGACAAAATGGTGGATTCAGCCAAAAAATGGACAATGTCTTCCCTAACACCTGAATTACATAAAACATGATACATAAGCACGTCATTTCGTAGAGTCCGAAAAGGGGGCACCATTCATATATAAAAGATCACCTCTGATCTTGAAAATCCAGTGAAGTTCATCCAAAGTCAAGCCTCGCGAATTATCTGTAATTAACCTAAACATACCGAGCTGCTATCTAACTGTCTGTAAAATAAGAAATGTGAAGTAGACGAGACTTTTTCCTGGAGAGCAGAAATAAATTTTAATTTTAAATTAACTAGTATTTCCTAGCGGGCCAACTGTTTACATTATGTGGCGAGAAGAGTTCACATGATAGCTCATTAGAGAGGTCGTTCCACCCCCTAAACCAGAGTACACCACGATTATTTCACGGGCAACTATTTTTGGCAAGCGATAATACGGAAGTTTAATTATTTTTAATATGTATTTGAAATGGAGCTGCAATGTAAACAAATACAACTGGCTAGTTCGGTCTCTATATATAACATGTAATTAGGTGTTGGGGTAGGTAAGGCAAAAAACTTTCTTATGAAGAAGTGTTGAATCTGGGTAAAAAAGTAAATAATTGCTAATATTAAGCACAGTCTATAGTATTGGGTTAGTGCAAAATTAATACAGTTTTGAAAATGTATTTTATTTTTGCAGGTGCTTGTTATGTAAAGCTAAATCAACTGTTTATCTATTATACCAAACATTTTAGTTTATATTGAATTTTATAAGAGTGAGGCTTGCGAAATTAAATATGTCCAAACAAGATTTTCGTCAAATTTATTTGTACGAATTTAAGCTTGAGCGAAGTGTCCAAACAGCGCGTAACATACGGCTTAAGGGAGGGAAGCATTAGCGAATATACGGTGCAGCGATGATTTCAGAGATTTCGTCCTGGAAATTTCGATCTCGAAGACTGGTAGGGTCGCGGTAGGTCTTCCGTTGTGGACGACAATCAATTTTAAAACGTTGATTGAAGGAATTTCAGTTGACCACTAAATCATGTTCGCCATCTGGAGCAAATTGGTAGAGTAAAGAAACTCGACTAGTTGGGTATCGCCGAAGCCCAGGGAAATGGACGCTCGGAATTTGTACATCTCTTCCGCTGAGTCACCAAAATGATCGAGTCATCACGTGCAATGAAAAACGGATTCTGAACGATAACAGGAGGGTTATTCAGGTCAGTAGTTGGAACTTCCCGAAACCAAATCTGTACCCAAAAAAGGTTATGGTGACGGCTGGAGTCGTTCACTGTAACTTCGTAAAACTATCATAGCAGAGGAACATTTCCAAGAAATTGACAAGATGCACGGGAAACTGTAACTTTTTTGAATGCATTGATAAACCGTAACTACTCTTCTTACGATAACGGCAGGCCACTTGTCGCAATGCCAACCCAGCAGAAACTTATGGACTTATGAGGTGAAACCTTACTGCACTCTCCATGTTCCCTACCTTCCTCTCCTCCTTCCTACCTCTCACCTAAAGACTTTAATTTTTTAGTCATTTTGATCATTTCTTGAAGGATACATTTTTAAGAGAACAAGGTGAAGCCGAAAACGCCTTCCAATACTTTATTATGAGTCCAAATAAAGATTTTTATGTCAGCGGAATAAAAGCTCCTATTACATGTTGGCAAAGATGTACAGATTGTGATGGGGCATATTTCGAATAAACTTATTTATTTTATAAAAATTAAAAATAGTTTTGACTCTATTTTCAAAACCTGCATTATTTTTGCACCAGCCCAATAATACAGTACAACAATTGATCAATGTCACTTGTCATAAATGTCAACAAGTTTAGTAATTTCACATTTTATTCTTCACAACTTTTCCAGTGAAAAAATTATGTCTACATGTAACGTATATTAATTAATCTTGTCATATAAGACTACCTACAGATTAAATAATATAACATAGTAAAACACTGAAAGTCTTTTTTCGTTTCATAAATTTTATTAATGTAAACATTTATACATTTTTATCAGTTTTGTAGGTAATCCTAGTTGAATATATAAACAACCTTCCTTTCCCCCATCACAACATGTCTGCATCTAATTACAACAAGATGCAAGTTTGCCAAAATAAAGATAAAACTTTTCCGGCTCAATTAGTCCCAGTGTGTACATAAATAATTAAATTAATTACGTAAAAAAGTATTTTTTATTTAATTATTATTTATTATATTTTTTAAATTTAATTTCAAAAGATATGACCTCCAGTATCGCAAATACAAACACGAGCGACTTTAGCACATGCTACTGTGATACATTATTTTGATAGTACAAGGTAACCAGAGAAGTTAGTGCGGGTTTTTTTTGTTATTGTTTAATACTGTTAATTAGCATTTCTATTTAAATAGGAGAATTAGTTGTTTACATCACGCAATACCAAGTAGTTAATGTGTTAGTCCATAAAGAAAAAGTGTCTCGAACAGTTCACTGTAAATTATAAAATATTTTCTTTCTCTTGGCTTCACAACCCATAATTCGTGCGTGCTTACTGTATGAATCTATGCTTGGTACTGATTGATTTAATAAACAAAGCAGTCAATGTGAAGTTACTTCTGGAGTTTGCGAGGTGACGAATCGGTAAATTGATCCTTACCGATCTTTGTCTGCCTATCCTCGCAACCTAGATCTGTAAGACGGGTTCCGACAGTCTCTTTTTGGAGTCGTTGGGGCGGGGTGCGAGTGTCGGCGTTTCTTTGTTTATCGGTGCCATTAGTGATTTAAGTCTTTTTTTAATTATTCTTCCGGTCGGTCTTTGTGATCGTCGCTCCTTTTTCTTTTTAGTTATTACAGTGTTTTGGATTGGGTAAAATTAAAAGATGGAAACTGTTGTTAATTTGTCTGTTTATTAGGTTTTTAGTAATTAATGTATGGTGTATATTTTGAAGTTTTCGGGTAAGTTCATTTTCGTCCTTTTACCTACGTCGTGTAGAGTTGTAGTTTCATGCTTGTCTGTAGAACTGAAAGTTCATGCTTTTTCGTCATTGTCCCTAAACGAGCTTATTGTTCTTTGTATCTGTCTTTCATATTTCGTCTTGTCTGTCCTATATATTTGTCTTCACATTCGCATATTATGGCGAATATGCCATTTTTGTCAATGTTTTGTCTTAGTAGTTTTTCAATTGTGTCTGCAGTGCTGTATTAATTCCTTATAATTTGGTAAATAGATTTGTCAATTTATTATTTCCCTATTTATGTGAATGTGGTCCATTTATGTGTGCGCGTTGATATTTTATTTTTTTATCGTTTTGGAGTGAAATTTTGTTTCTTTATCGGAAAAAGAATTAACTTTTAGATAATTACTCCAACACAGGGGTCTAATTTCTAATGTCAACTGAGTCCAAAATCCACGAAAATGATTAACTTTCGATGTGACAGAGATAGGAAACGTGTTCAATTGAATTGGATAAACTAATGTCGGAACATCATAACGTCTTCTTCGATAAAATTTTGTGGTCATTTTGCAAACAATTGACATTTGGGCGGCTTATGTGATAATACGTCTGATCTTTGGGTTACTTTTAAGCATAAGGTTTTTTTGCCCATTGCTGAAATTTTTACAGTAAACATTTTCTAGCATTTTCTTTGCTTCTACTAGAATCTATCATTTCTACAAATTAGGTAATTTATTCGTGAAAAAACTGATTCCCAGGTTCAATTGTTAAGGGACGGAATTGGATAAAAAAGCGACGGAACGTCTTAACGCCTTCTTCGGTGAAATATTGTCGTCATTTTGCTAAGATTTGACATTTGGAAGGCTGATATGGTAATACAGTTACAGGGATCTTTAGTTACTCTTAAACTTACGGTTTTGTTTACCCATTGCTAAAATTTTGATGGTACTTGACCAAAGACAACGATAATGTACGTCGTACATTTTTTTAATCTGCCTGTTTAATTGGGTACCGAGTTATTTGGGGATCAACTGAGCATTGGACATTTAAAGCAAAGAGATCGAGGTGGTAAATAATTACAAATATTTAGGAGGGTGTAACCGTCACCACAGGTTTCGTTCGGTCCACATTTGGCATTGAAAGCCTCCTCTGAAAATCTGTCTATTTATAAACCCTGGTAACCGCTTACATCACAAGGTACTATTCATTGTTTAGAGTACCCAGCTCGTCGCATTATCTTGTATTATCTTGCTGTCACGTTTAGGGATGTCAACAATTTGATAATCAAAAAGGTTCAATGCTTTTCTGTTTGGAGAGTCTTTCAATGTAACCAGCAGCCACACTTAATTACTTGATTTATATAGAGATTTCACGTGAACCTCTTTTTATTTACTATTTGACGTTACACTTTTCATTTGTTACAATTAATTAAGGTTTTTAGTTGAGATAAAAAAGTCAATGGTACGAGCGGGATTCGAACCTAAGGTGAAGCGGATCACGAAATTAGTGAATTGAACTTTTCATTTGTTTTCAAATCTCGTACGCTTACATCTCTCCAAGGTATCTGCCGTGACATTTTTTTTCTTGTGATGTTTAAGGGTATTATGTTAATTTTCTTTTTTTTTTATATTTTAAGATTCAATGATTATTCAGAAATCGTGAGATGCGGTCTGGTGAGATGTAGGTTTCAGAAAAACAGTTTCTTTATCATTCCAACGTTTCGATCTTTATTGAGATCATCTTCAGGGCCTGGGATTTAAAATTACATTTTAAATTTACATTGTTTAAATTTAACAAAAACATGTAGGATATGGAAAAAAGTGAATTTATATAATGCAAATAAATATTTGTTTTTACATTCACTATTTTTCGTGGACCGCTTGACCAATTAATATCATTCAATTAATTAAGCCGGCTCGTGACACTGAACCTAAAACCTTAATTAAAATAGATTTTTTTAAATATTTAATCAAAGTATTTCTACTCACTCAAAGTGTTTGTTTTCTGCGTAATTGTGCCATTCTTGCGTGTCGTGTTGAGAGTGCCAGTGAAATATTGCTGTTTTATGTTTATATACATTGGATTTTGAAGGGGTGGGGAAGGAAGTCGGTATAGAAAGACATTTTTGTATAAGGAGTCGGCTTCTTTGAGGTAAAAAGAGCCGACGATGGTAATGGTTCGGCCAGATTATCCTTTCAGGATTACATAGACGGGGATAAATAGGAAAAGGAAAGCTAAATTGTTCAAAAATTAGACTATGTAAAAATGTTTGATGTGTGGAATTTGATGAATATTTTATATGTTATATGTTTTGTGTGATGTGTCTGTTCTGTAATCACCACACATTAAGATTCAATGTTCATGTGTCAAAAGAAAAAATGGGAGAAAAGGATAGGTATACTTCAACTATAACTAAATAAGTTGAAGTATATCTATCCTTTTCTCTAATTTTTTCTTTTCTTTTATAACGACCTCCGGTAGGCGGATTTTATCCGTCTTTATACACTATTTCTTTTATTTGTTGTACATTATTGTAAAGATTACAATAAATAAATCTAATCTTAATGTCACCGTTAATGGCACCCTACAAAACTAATAAATAAACAACGACTGAACCTGGGGAATCAATTTTTTCACAAATAATCTACCTAATTTGAAAAAATTAAGATTGTAGGAAGAACAAAGAAAATGCTAGACAGCATTAAATCTAAAAATTTCAGCAATGGGCCAACAAAACCTTATGTTTAAGTTTTATCCGACTTTATACCCAAGATCCTTGTAACCGTATTACCATATCAGCCTCCTAAATGACAACTTCGCAAAATAGCGACAATATCTCACCGAAGAAGACTTCGGCGTTCCGACACTAGTATATCCAATTCCGTCGCTTAACAATTGGACCTGGGTATCAAAGTTTTCACATATAATCTACCTAATTTGAAAAAATGCGAGATTGTATGGAGAACAAAGAAAATGCTAGAAAGTATTTACCGTAAAAATTTCAGCAATGAGCAAGCAAAACCTTACTCATAAGAGTCACCCAAGGATCAGACGTATTATCATAACAGCAAAATGTCAATTCTTTGCAAAATTTTTCACAGAAGAAGACGTTAAGACGATCCGATACTAGCTTACTCCAACTCCGTCGCTTAACGTTTAACTACCCGTTGAGTGTTAGCGGACGAGGGGATAGAGTATTTTATATTACTTTTTAAAATCATTCTCAAATAAAATTTCAAGGGGCTGGGGTTTGAACTCAGAACCACTAACATTAAGACACTTGGACAGTACGTTACTTTATTGTTTATGTAATTCCGATCAAAATCAAATAAACCTAAAATAAATTTTGTCATCTCTACACAATAAAAGAGATGTAGTTTTATCTTGTCAGTAAAATATCAGTAGAAATAACCTAGAAAATATACAGAATATAAGTTTTAATAACTAAAATTTTGATTTACCGATTTATTCCAAACTGAGAAAAAAATCACGAACAAGATGAGCTGCACTTGAACATTTATTCACATTTTTAACCATGTAGATGACACTATTTGTATTTAAACAAGAAATAAAAACACTTGAAAACACTGAATTTTGAAGCTTGAATAAAGGAGTGAATTGGTATTGATGGACAAACGGACTTAGTTTTGTTGCTTGCTCAGGTGCTTTTAAAATACATGTCTGCCCCGTAGAAAAAAATTGAAAACTTTTGAGTACTGCACTGTTCATCGACTTAAAGAGATAAAAAAAATCACGTTTAGCCGTTAACCCTAAAAGAACTTTAAAATCTTGACAGCTGATCGGACTTGATCTTCCCTTTTAAACACATGTTTTAATTGCCAAATATTTAAAGAATTTGTATTATAATATTTTTTTAAAAATGCCACCGTATTTCCGAAATAAAATCCTGCCCGAAGGAATAAAATATGGGCTTAAATCTGGAGGAGTTCTGCTTTCGATCTTTACATTTCCAACATGCTATGTTCAGTTTAATTGTTTTGACCGAAAGCTCATTTTGGCATGTTCATCCGCCTGTCCATTTGTTGTAACAACTGAGACATTTCATCGATGGGACTTACAACCTTGCTAGCGACCGGTGATAGACCTTGTCCCCTTTGAGCCTGCAATTTTCAGTCTGAACTCTTCCGAAATGGCTGATTATTCGAGTTTGAAGTTGTAAGATAATTTATCTTAGCATTTATTTAATGATAATTTCCTTCTGTAGCTTCTATTTCTTTTTTGTATTTATTTCCTCACCCTTACTGACTTTATTTATAATATCCGTAGTATTGTGTCCATCCAATTTAACATTTTTTCTTCCCTTTCAAAAAGTTAAATAAATCCAATTAGAGTAGTAGATAGGTCTTATTGGTTGGTTATCCCAAATCAAGATAATTTCTGCTGTCTAGTTTTAAATTACTGTTCTTCCGATCTTAATTACTTAAATTGAAAAATAAATCATGTTTACTAGGGTAGATCCATTTTGTGTTTAATGAAACTAATTAATGATCTAAACTAATAATGACTGAAATGACGATGTGAACTTCTATACTTTTTTTAATAGTCTTTCATCCTTCCCCATTATTTACCCAGTTAATTTTTTAAATTTAAAAAAGCTTAAGGACTTTTGTATAGCTTACTTTGAACTGCCAAAATAAATTAACCAATTATTTAAGGGATGAAATTCCAAAAAGAAAGCGAGGACGTCCACCCAAGACTCCAAGTACTCTCAACACAGTTTTGGAGTTTCCAACGTCACATTTGACAGAGAAAGAAAGCAAAGAACTCCAGTTGGGATACAAGTATGTATTTGAAACATCTTACCATTTCAATTAATTTATAATATAATAATAATAATGTTACTTTATTATTTACATTGCTAGAGGTCATTGAATAGTCAAACTGAAATGTTGGTTTTGTTGATTTTTTTTTTAAATCAAATCAAATATAAAAGCTCGTAATATAGATAAATACAGAAATTATCTTTGACATGCAGAGAAAGGTTCTCGATGTCCCTACCTAATTGAAAGGTGTAATTGCTTGGCTACTTGTGGTTGAGCTTGGCAGCGAGTAACTGGTCCCTTCTGACTATTCTTGGAGGAAAGATTGTTTTATTGTATACAGTAATGATAGTTTTGGGTACCTAGCAAATGTTGAGAGTGTATGTATTTATTGGTGTGAGTGTGTAGTGCAACAGTGCCGATGGCGGAATATTGAGTGCCACATCTACCTTGATTAGGTTAACTATATAATACAATGGAGGAGTATTGAATACTCCACCACCCTAATTGAGTGAATTTTATGTAAATAGGAAAGAATATATCTAAGATGAGTGAGAGTTCAATGGTTTTGGTTTGAAAGAACTGATTGTATTGGGGGCTAAAATGACCTAGGACAGATAAGACGGAGGTTTAATCCTGAATTGCCAACACCCCCTAGGTGGGTCATTCTCAAGGCCTGCCAGAAATTTATTGTAAATTACAAAAGCTGTAATTAACGGTGAATTGTGAGAACTAAGGCTCAGCTCTGTACATGTGTATACATGCATTGCAGATTTGCGCTTATATATACATCACTAGTCATTAATAAATACAGAAATAAAAATTCTTTAGAAATTCAATTACATTACCAATTCTTGTCAGTAGTGCCAGGCCTGTCGACCATTATCATATTAAATTTCAAAAATCACATTTAAGCAATTTGATAAGTTGACTTTTGGTAATTACAGAACTACAAATCTCTGACAACAAAGTATGAACGCATAACGCATTAGAAATCAACCCTGATACTGGAATTACAATTAATTTATGATAAAAATTATATTCCACACCACAGTAATTATAAGTTATTGAAATAATTAAACAGTAGGATTTTCATGATTATTCAGAAATCGTGAGATGCAGTCTGGTGTGATGTAGGTTTCAGAAAAAATTTTCTTTATCGTGCCAATGTTTCGATGTTTATTGAGATCATCTTCAGGGCCTGGGATTTACAAACATTGTTTAAATTTAACATCATATAAATTCACTTTTTTCCACATCCTACATGTATTTGTTAAATTTAAACAATGTTTGTAAATCCCAGGCCATGAAGATGATCTCAATAAAGATCGAAATGTTGGCATGATAAAGAAAATGTTTTTCTGAAACCTACATCACACCAGACTGCATCTCACAATTTCTGTGTGTGTGAATAATCATCGACTAACGGTCACTAATCACCACACCATAGGATTTTCTTTTGCCTGTACCTCATACGCAATATGCAGAAATATATTTTATTACTCAAGAATTGGTTCCCATTTCACATCGAGGTCTCGTTTTGCAAGTTTGGTTCAAAAACTTTATTTCAATCTGATCAGCCAATTAAAAAAACTCCAGTTATATTTAAATAACTGGATTTTTATTAATGAGCATTATAATGTTTATCAATTTGTCATTGGGCCTTATATTTATTTTGTTATTTGTTTAATATCTAGCAATGTTTCAAAGGTCCTACTTCTTTCATTCTAAGATTTGTAGCAATAATACTTCTTTTATTTTTCATTCATCTGCCATTGGCATTTACTTTATTTTTCATGTTATGCTTCCTCATTAGTATTTTAATACTAATAAACTTTTAATTTTATATTTTTAAAACTTGTATGGGTTATTATACTATTCTGGATTTTCACAGTTCTGATTTTTAATAATATTGACCTTTTTCTATTTAGAATTTTGAAAGATATACTCAACATACCTAAAATCAAGCCCCTGCTTGACAAACCAGATGAAAGCTGTTTTGGCCTCCATGACTACTACAGCATTATTGAAAAGCCAATATGGTTCAACGAAAGTGAGTATCTTTTCAAATTTTGTATTGTATAATAAGTGTGAAAAACAACACTCAGACAAAACTAGCATGACACCACAAGAATAGCACCACATTTTATGTCCTGAAGATGACCCAAATAAAGGTCGAAATATTGGCAAAAAAATGAAAAAGGTGTTTTTCTAAATTACCTCGTTCTTGACCGCTCCTCACAAATTCAACAAATTATTGTATATTAAAGTATATATTGCAAAATAAGTTTTGTTTTAGTTTCTCGCAAATACGCTTGCAAAGAGTACAAGGACTTAAAAACAGTGATTGATGATATAAGACTCGTTCTGGAAAATTGTTATAAATTTTGGGGCTACAAACACAAATTTATCAAGCAGGCGTATCGAGTTGAAAAAATGCTTGAGAAACACATAAGCGAGTTCCCAGAGTAAGTAATGATTTTCAATTGATTTTAGTTTGTTTTAACTTAAGATTATTTTTTGATATATTCTTAATAATAGACCATTAAGAACACTTTGCTCACTCGGTGAGCCCGAGACAAGTACCATTGTAAATAAGGTTGATATTGACAGTGACTCCGTTCTTACTGAAGGTGAATTGTTTAAACAAATCAAAATATAAAATTTTAATTTAAACTTTAAATGTTTTTCTGTTAATGCTACTGGGTAGAATACCATTCAAAAATTCTTGAAAATCTTGAGAAAAAGCAAAAGGAAACTAAAGAGGACCTTGTGTCTGATCCTGATCTTCAGAAATGGGAGGCTGAGGTCTTGATGAGCAAACAGAAATCAAAGCAGATCTCTCTCATGTCAGAGGTAAGTAAATTTATGTTCAAATGGTATCAATTTTTATGGTACTAGTTATAAAAACCCTTTTCCCCACAGCTTGCAGAAATTGGACATTTTTTGAGGTTATCTCAGGACATTCTGTGTCTAAAGGATATCACACAGTATGAGATAGAAAGGATGCTGTTGATGCCAAGGGAATCTACCACCCTAGCATCAATAATGACTTGTTTCCTATGGTAGTTATTTTCTTTTTAAGAAACATATTTCAGAAATAATTGGATATGGTTTTATTATAGTCCTACAGCTATGCGTGGTAGTCTATATTTCAAGCCAATAATGATTTATGACGTATGGCAGAGCTTGCTGAATAGAAAGCTAGAAGGGTGGTACAATGCTTATGCTAAAATAAACAATAAGTTACAGGTAAGGATAAGAAGATATTATCTAACGAAAATATTGATATAAATTTGTTATCAGCTTTTTCTTAAATATGGTATTGAGCCCTATTTTTGGGAAATTGTGGGAGAGCAAAACCCCCTAACAGATACTGAATTCCATGCACTGAGTTTCACTAAAAAGGCTTGCATTCTCAAGGCACTTTGTACAACAATGTTTGTAAGTTTTGTATCTATTGGGCCCAGATATTTGATTGACTATTTTTTAAAAATTCACTCTTTTGCAGCATTCTAATAAAAAAATAGAAGATTATTTTAATTCAGTGGAAGAATCATCACTAAGAGGTATTACAATTTTTGAAGACTCTAAATTTGAATACATCAGCCTATTCAGCCCTGAAATTCGTATTTACCGTGTTTCTAAAACTCAAATTGGCATTGTAAGTTATCAAAATTTTAATATCAATGGAAAATATTTTAAATAAATGTATGTATATATTATTTTCAGGAACACATGATTGAAACAGTTTTACCTAATTTCCCAGTGAATGAAGATCTAACTGATTCTTCAGGTGATTATTCGTAGTTATTAGGTTATCCTTAAAAATCTCAGCATGTAGAGACTAATAATCACCAAATTGCAGTTTAAACCACATTAGGTTTTATGCTTTACAAGTTTCTTACTCAACATATGGAGTCAACATACTAGTAAAATAAAAATAAAAACAATTTATGAAATTCATATTGACTTTCAGACTTAACTACTTGCATTTTAGTCAAAACCAATAATAATAAATAAAATAATAATAATAAAACGAATAATATCTCATCTATTTCGCCGTATCTTTACCGAGCTAAGTTTTCGGAGCTTATGGCTTGTTACACTTAGGTAGGTGGTAAGTTTTCGATTCATCTTTGCAGACAGGTCTAAGACTGAAAAAAAGGTGTGGCGTGAATTGAGTGAGTGAGTCCACTTAATGTTTGTTAAATGGTGGTTGCTATTTGGGTACTGGGGGGAATGAAAAGGAGGGCAAGGCAGATAAGGCTGGAATGTCCCAACCTCCAGACTTAACCACCTTGATCTATCCCTCTGACGCTAAGAATGGGCTGGGTTGACAAAGAAGCTCTCATGTATCTAGAGTACTGTCGATGGGTGGCCCTTGGAGGATCTAACTCATAGAAGGGTCATCCTCACCCAGTAAGCCATGCAAGGTTGACACGTTTCTTGATATATCTCACCTAACTGAAGGTGCAATTCCTTCACTCCATATAGAGAGCACGCAGGAATGCCATACCATTTGATAATTGTGCTTGAACATGGCAGCGAATATTTAGGTACCCTGTTCTGATAGTTGGAGGAACAGGGTTGTTCTATTGTATATAATCATAATAGTTGGGTATACCTACCTTGAGTTGATAGTGAATTTATTTTTTAGCATGAATCTCCTTATTAGCGTGAGTGTGTTATGTGAGAGGGTCGATAGCGGAATATCGAGTATTACACCCTAATTAATGAATGGTATGCACATAGGAGTGAATGTATTTAAGAATGAACGTGAGTACAAATGGGTTCATAACTGCTTATGCTGCATGCTGAATTGACCTAGCTGTTGACAGTACCTTGCCCCCAGAACCCAACCTCAGTGGCTGGACAGATAAGACTGAAGTCTGCCCTCGGACTGCCAACACCCTGGGTGGGTGATTCTTGAGACTGCTGACAATTTACTGTAAATAGCAAAAGCAGGACAATAGGCACAACTTGACACATATTTGTATGTGTGTATGTATGTGCATGTGCAGATTTGAGCCTATATAAATCCAAATCCAATAATAACTGATGATATTGCAATATTTAGAAACCCATTTGTTACAACATAAAACATTAATGTTATGTTTTCATAATTATTTATAACCCGTATATGTGTTTAGTTGTCATAATTGGCTGTATTAATTATTTAAATTAATTACACTTTTTATCTAAGGTCTTGGTTGAGATGAAAAAGCTAGCTTCACAAGCGGAATTTGAACACATGACCTTCGGCTCAATATGCCACTGCTTTAACCACTTGAGCAATCGTGACTTCAAACCAAGACCTTAGATAAAAAGTATAATTTGAATAATTAATATGGTCAATTATGACTACTAAATACATATATGGATTAATATAATAATTACAGACGTACTTATTCCCTAACAGCTCCCCATGGCCATTTCGTAAGTCGCTGAGAATTGAATCCTGATTACACAATATTTGAAAATTTGGCAAAAAGAGGGAAAAATTCTCACGGTTGTAGGTTGAGATGAGGAGTTGGTGCCAGAGTGGATCAGAGTCATGATAGCTCAAGTGGTTAGGGCAGCAGCGTATTGTGCCAAAGGTCATGGGATTGAATCCTGCTTGTAAAACTAGCTTTTTCATCTCAACCAAAACCTTAGGTAAAAAGAATAATAAATTCAAATTATTTATAACGTTATTTGTTTAACAATTTTCAGCTTTACAAGCTGCACAGAAGAATGTTTGTTCAAAAAGGCAAAAGTTTTATTTGGTCGCAACTGACAGGGAAAGTCTTGAATCCTTCCTGAAAGTAATGAGCAAGAAGAAAAAATTGCACAGTGCCATTCATACTCTTCTTGCTCAAGATCAAAGCAATAAATTTGCAATAAAAGGTTTGAAAGCTATGTTCAGCCAATGGCAGAAATCAGTTAAAAGGTTAGAAACCATAACATAAAGCCAGTAAAGTTTTTATATGATTTAATTTATGTATTAGGTCATCAACTTTTATTGAAAATTCAATAAACTATTGGATTAACAAAGAGGCATCTCCAGAAAATACCCCACAGAACAGTATGAGTGGGATATTTCATGATTTGGAGAACCAAGGGGAACCTGTTTTGGGTAAGTCTTGTAATTTTTCCCCTTATTTCATAAAGATTGATAATGTACTGTGTTTTCACTTCAGGGAAGCGCATTCTTAAGCGAAAGTTTTCATTAGAAGATGTTGAAAGTTCATCCAATGATGAAAAGCTATCTGAAGAGAGCGTGTCAGACTGGGAAGATGGCAATATCAGAAGAAGCAAAAGAATCAAACCGAGCAAGAGTGTACCTCGGTTTTTTGACAGGCGGTTTATGAAGTTTGAAAGGAATAACCTCGAGGACGGTATTTTTGAGCCAGATTTCAAAGTGTTCAATTGCATGACTAGTACCCCAAAAGCACCAGAGCCTGTATCGAAGGTTCCTAAGAGGATAAATTATGTATCAAAGGCTGGAGTCAGGATTAGGAAAGCTCCCCAGTTCATGTCACTTAAAAGAAGTATAATCAATGCCGCAGTAGAGAATGCGAGCAAGCTTGTTACTCAGGCTCCAGACAGCAACCTCAAGGTTTTGACAATTGATATGAAAGCGGGAAGCAATGGGCAGCATATTTCATGGCAGAACAATTATGAAGAACTGCATCAACAATCGTCTTGGATCTGCCCTCAGCCGGTGAACACATTTAGCCAGGACCCTTATTACACTCCAAACCAGGAGTTTTTATCATTCAATGAGTCGTTATTAGAAAATGCACCACAAATATCTGTTCCTAAAAAGGATAATAACAACGACATAAGTTCGATGCTCCCATACAATCAAATGAATATCCCCCCTTTAATGAGTGATCATTTAGATTACACTTTAAATGGACAAAATGAAACATTAGAAAACTTCCAAACTGAAGATTTATCTCAGTATGAGCCGGTCTTGTACCTTCCAGAGCCACCATCTTTAAGTCCTAGCAAGTTTATTAACATGGCTCCTTGTATTTCTCCGAATCAGGTATTGTTGAGTTTAATCACCTCCAGTATTTCAATCCCAATCAGTTACGCGTTATTCAATAAAAAAAATCTTTTCAGATGAATGTCCTCCACATAGTTGGACCGCATACAATTACGTCAGGGGACGGGTCAATTCTGAATCAAGACCCTGGCGTCTCTCAATAGTACTGCCAGACGGCGGTTTCATACCGCTGGCAACTGAAGACCATGACGAACTCATTGAATGTGCCAAAGGGAAAATTCCTAAAACTGTTGTGGTTTGTTTAAAAAAAAAGCATCTTCACTCTAGACTCTGGTCTATTGGAGAAATGTTTTTTTCTTTTATTTGTTTTTAATTTGTCCATGAAATTTGGCTTTTAATTTCCTTTGAACAGGAGATTTGTTTGAATAAACACACAATTTTATATGGTTATATTTTTTTCTGAATAATTAGCAAAGGCTAATAGATAAATAGAAAAAATTTTATAAATACATTTGATTGATCTATAAATTTTTTAAATCTATAAAAAAATTTAGGGAGATATATATAATATATTCTTGCTCATATTTAAAAAAAATGTAAAATAACTGCAATACTGCACTATTCTTCTGATGAAAATTTATTTCAACTGTTTGTTATAAACATTGTATTTTTTGTTGTTAGCTAATTTTATATTTGACAGTATGATTGTTAGTTTTTTCTACTTTTTATTTTTTTGTAATGCATAATTTTTGGTTTGTCTTATTAATTAGTTTTGGCCTTCTCTGGCTAACGAATGTTAATGTTTTATATCAATTGTAATTGTACCATTTAATAAATTATAATTATTATATAAATAAAATTGTAAGGCAAACAATTTCCCTAGCCCATCCCTTAATGTCCCATCCAGTAACCTGTTGGGTGTTGTGGATGAGAGGTCAGACTACTTTACATTACATTTTAACATCATGCCCAAATAAAATTCCAAAGGCTACGCTGTGGTTCGAACCCAGAACCTGCTTGCAAGGGAAATAAAAGTATAGAAAATTGATTTTTAAATAGAAGTAGACACGTTATAAGACATTTTGTTAGGCTGGGGGATGATTAGCCAATTGATGAGTGTCGTTAGGCCCAAAGGATGGGAGAGATGCTAGAAGAAGAGATGCTAGGGAATACCAGATTTTAATGTAGTAGTGTGGCCGTTAGACGAAAGTAAAAGATAATTAGTAAATAATTAATAACACAATAAACTAAATAAAACAAGTAAATTATACGTCTTACAGGATAATGAATTATCTTGGTCAATAATGCAGGATACGCTAGGCCACAAGTTGGGTTCTAGTTGCCTGACCGGAGGTAACAGTATTGCCAACTTACTTAATTACATGTTAGTTTGTTCAAATGCAGTTTTAATCTCAGGAATTTAATTCTTTTAAATATGTTGTATATGATAATTTAATAGTTGCATGTTATTTGCATTTTGTAATGCAATACACATGTTCATGATGTTCTTTGGAATGAAATGGCAGCAGTTGCTTGTCTCAATTTTGTCCGAACCTATGTTATAAAGGCAGTGCTTTTTTACTTATTCCTTCTCACCATGAGTTTAAATTCATTTCCTTTAATAAAGTGGGATTTGCCGAAAAACGAGGATATACCATCCCAGCAGACACAGGACGCGTATGGAGAATGCAATAATGAAGGTATGTTCCACTAAATAATATCTTTTTAAATTAAATTTTAGAAAATAAGCACCATCTGGTACTAACCAGTGGCCTCTTCTCACATCACTCCATTACCATGAATAATTATGTTTGTACATATAATAAGAAAAGTTAATTGTCTTTTGAATCATGTACATTATGTTAATATTAGAAGAAATCAATGTTTAATATTGGATAATAGATATTTTGCAAAATGAAACATTTCTAACCTGTACTGTTAAAATAATGGCGGCGTTCGATGAATTCCCAACGAACAGAAAGCAAACAAATAGTGGCCGTACCAATATTTCTGATAAGTTAAAATAACTGATATGGTTAAAATTATCTTTAACTTATAAAATACTTTGAATTCAAGAGATGGAGCCACTGTCAAATTCAGTTCTGTAATTGATGTACAGTTTGCCCAATATATTTGTCCCACACCAGTTTTGTTCTAGGCTCCATTCCATTCCAAGGTACTTGACTGTACTTGTAGCATTTCCAATTGAAAACTTAGATAATGTCATTGGAGTTTAGTTTTGTATGTGAAAAAGGCTTTTTTTACATATACATACATATTACACATGTATACATATTATACATTTATACATATGCAATGTGTATTCTTTTATTTGGGGGGAAGAAAGGGTATCATGGAAAAAGGTCTAGGGGCGATGGTGAGAATCAAACCTATGACCGTAGAGTCTATGAGCCGAGAGTCTATCATGCTTATCACTAAGCTATTGTGGTCCCGATGTTTCTCTTCAGTATTTTTAATAACAAGACATAATATTTGTGAACTGCAAAAATGTACAAATTTTATACGTTTTTTTAAAATCTGTAATTTGGTCATTACTGATCATTTTGATATACTTATCGTTGCTAGGCGGAGAAGGCAAAGGGGGAAAAATAAACCACTTGGCTATACTGTTTATATGTTCATAAATATTATTAATATTTGCTAACCTCGCAAATTTTTAAATAAAGTTTCAAAATCCTGATGATTTGTTTGATTGATTTGATGTTTTGCTGATGTACACTTCAAAAATTCCATGAAAGGGCTGTTTTCTTTCTGATTAGCCCCGCCCCTCAACATTTTTTATATATAAATAGCTCTAGGACAGTTGATGCATTTATATTCTGTTTTAGACAATTTAAAAAGAAAATATTCCTAGTAATATACTAATGTCTGATATGCAAAAGATTGATAGGAATTTAATTGTGCCAAGTGGATAATTGTTATTATTTTATTTATTTATTTTTTTTTTTCCGCCAGCTTCAAAACATACAGACAAACGTTTGTTAGAAGAACCGGATAGTGAATTTGTGCCAAAGCGTATAAAATATTCAGAAGGCATGACAATAAAATCATTCTCTGATACATTTTTTCATACTGGCAAACCGAACCTTTTTAACAATCAGACATCATACTCAGACTCATTCATAGGAAATATTACAATACGTGAAAGAACTCAGGTTAATCCATTGAAAGAAATGTTACCAGGTAACTTAAGTAAACATAATGTTATAATACCGATACCAGGTTTTGGAAGAAAAATACATAGTGATATAATCACGCATTCAGAAAAAAACTGGGGACATGAGCAGTTTTTGAATTTAAACACAGATGCCCAGAAAGATAATTTCACTGAACTTTCGCAAATTGAAAATTCTATTGTTTTAAAAAGAAATGAAGTTCAAAATGGCACTGAATCATTAGAAATGGACTCAGATAAATTACCGGAAAATAATTCCAGTTATAATAATGGCGATAGAGAAAATGTCTTTTTAAATGAAGCAATAATACAAAACCAACCTTTTCTTAAAATTCATCAACAAAATGAAGATAAATTTGAATTTATAAAAAATACCAAATCAACTGTTGAAAACGAATTTAGTTTTCTTCAATACAAGGTAATCATTTCATGAACAACATTTATGTGTTGTATACAATTAAATCACTTTTGTAGGTATATAACAAAGACGGTGATTTTGTAAATTCTTCATACAATGAAAACAGGAATCTACATGGGTTAATGTATTTGCATAACATTAATATATGTACAGAACTCTTTAGTATTATGCTTACTTTTCATAGAAATGAAGGTCATAAAGTTATATTTAAAGAAGAAAAGTTATTAAAACGGTTTTCAAATTCTGACGAGTTGGCTGGAACAAGCTTTAGCTCAGTGATGGCAATCACTTTGAAACTGTCGATGGAATGTGAAGAATTGACAGAAACTCTTACAAAAGAAATGTCACTTTCAGACAGTTCTCTTCCAATTCATCAATCGGATGTTCACATAATGGATTCACCATTCCCTTTCAAAACAAATGACACAGATATCAACATGAAAATGATAAATTTTGCTTCTAAAGAAAATGAACAAGAAAATGAAAATGATACCAGTGAACAATTTATAGATAATTCAATTGTTGAAATGATAAAAAATATTAAAACTCTAAGGGTCAAATCAGAACAGGAATACATGACTCCTGAAATCAAGGAAAAATATCCATTAACTATAAAAGACTTTGTATGGTAAAAATGTTGACATTTATTTTCTAATTATAACTCAAATTATACAATGATTAAAATTGTATATAATATAAATCATCATAATTATCAACTTGTGCTTTATAAAATGTTATGTACTAACCAAGTGATGTAATTGGTATCCCAGCTAACTTTTTCCTGATCTCGGGAGCATTCGCACAAGTTAACTTTTGTTATTCATCTTTAGTTGATTAACAAAAGTTGAAAGTGACATAAGCCATTTTATTCGCACATTTCAATAAAAATTAAAACTAAAATTAAAAATATATTAAATTTTTTTTTAATGTTTTAATTCTGTAAATTTGTTTATTGAACAAAGTAATATTTTGGAACAGTTGTATAATGACCACTGTTAGCTAAAACCTCTGTGCACCTGTTAGGCATACTGTTACTAAGGTTGTCACTAATTTCATAAGGAATTTCACTCCATGTTACACACTGCACTTAGTTGTTGCACATCAACTGCTGCGAATGGTGATCGAAAAGATCTTCTCTGCAACATATGCTCAATGGGGTTGAGGTCTGGTGACAATGTGGGAAGGGGGAGATGGGTAATTCCCAGGTTTTCTAAACAATGATGAACAACTATGCCTCTATGAGGCATTGACATCCAGAAATCGAAAATCCCTGCAAGATCTCTGGTTTGAGGATTGTGTGTCATGGTTTGTATTCCTCAATAATTTCTTGGGCATAACATGAGGTAGAATGAAATACTGGATTCCATACTATTAAAAGTATGGAGTCCAGTTTTGCCTCCAGTGTAATTCCCAGCCCAGACCATTACACCGCCTCCTCCAAACTGCACTGAAGGTATTGTGAATTGGGGCATTGTATGCATCCCCTATTCTCGGTGGACTCTTTGGCGTCTGCAATCACTACACAGACAGAAATGCGACTCATCAGTAATGATTAAGAATCATATGTTTTGATGAAAAGCCTTGCCAAAACATTTTGTACTTCACTTAGATCTGGTGGGCACTACGGAAAGAGTTCTGTCTTGCAGGAATGATTTTTGTCCTCCTTAGTGTCGTAATGAGCTGAGATTCTCTACCAGGCCTCCTATTGGCACTTCCAATCTCTCGGAATTGGGCTAAAGCCTGCGAGACCACGCTCTGTGAAACACCAACTGCTCTGCTCATGATGACTCATTCTCACAATAATTTTCAATTAATTAAGATTTTTAGTTGAGATAAAAAAGGCAGTGTCACGAGCAAGATTCGAACCCACGATCTTCGGCTAGATATGCCCCTGCTCTACCACCTGAGATATCATGACCTCGTGAAGTTAGTGTCTGACTGGACTGAGGTCACGATAGCTCAAGTGGTAGAGCAGCGGCGTATCAAGCCAAAGATCGTGGGCTCAAATCCTGCTCGTGCCATTGACTTTTTTATTTCAACTGAAAACATTAATTAATTGTAACATATTAATTGGTCAAGCGGACCACGAAACTAGTGAATTTAATAAATTTAAAATGAAGTATACCTTCCCTAAAGCTCTCCATGGCCATTTCATTTGTCGCTGAGAATCAAATAGATTACACGACATTTGAAAAAAGGAGGGAAAATTCGAATGGTAGGTTGAAATGGGAAGTTGATGTCCGACTGGATTGTTGAGATCACGATAGCCCAAGTGATAAAGCAGCGGCGTATCAAGCCGAAGGTCGTGGGTTCGAATCCCGCTCATGACTCCAACTTTTTTATCTCAACTAAAAACCTTAATTAATTGAAAGATATTAAATGGTCAAGAGGACCACGAAAACTAGTGAATCTCACAATAATGTTGCGAACTTCTGGTTCAAGGTGATGTCTTAACATGGTTAATGGTAATAAAGCTGGATTAAAATGGAGAAAAGGTGTTTATTTACAAAATGAGTCATCTTCATTTTACTATTCTTAAGTAAATCCGTTATTAAAAATGAGGGTTAACATTTATTTGTTTTTGGTTAATAGTTTCTATTTTGTTTTATCCACCTAACAAGAATGTATTGATTAATTTAATTAAAATTAATAGAATGAGAATAAATTACAAATATCCCTATTCATTTTAGCAGTTTAGTACACTCTCCTTTGGTTAGCTGGAACTGATGAAACAACCGTCTTGTGTTAATGGTTGTGTTTATATCTAGATAAAAGAATCCTGTTGAATAAAAACTAATTTTTTGGTCCTGTTTTCATAATATCTTTTTTTTGCTTTATTTTTGACTTCCTCGATGGGTGTCCTAATGTTCCAAATTTTGCCTTCTCTTTCCGATTTTTTTTTGCCATTTTATCGACTAATTTGTTCCGTTTTATGCCCCCGTGGCCATGTACCTAGTAGAAACTACACTAAAAAAATTTTTCAGCCAATTTAGTGCGATTTCCATAATCCTGAATACTAGATATGTACAGTTGGACTTCTGACAAAATTTTTGATGCTTTTTTGGAAGCTCTTAGAATCAGTCAAAATAAAAAATTTTCTTTTCTATATTCCCTTCCAAAATGGTTGGATTAGTTCTGCTGAATAAATAGAAAGATTGTTCTTTAATTTGTATTTTTTATTTTCTTTTGTTTGCACATCATACCATGTACATCCTATTCCGTCAGTACTTTTTGATCCATCCATAAATATTACATACGGAGAATTGCATAAAGACTTGATATCACTCCAAAAGGTTTCATTTACTCCACAAACTGGTATCTCAGGATAATCCTTTAAGTAGTAGATTTTTTTAATATGCTGTCAATTCCATAATCTATAGAGTATCCATAGTCTATTATGCCGCTTTACGGATGCTTTTATGGGAGCCGTTTATCTACAAATATGCGTCAATGAGAGGAGGGCTTTTTTCCTTGCCCCAATAATTTTTTGTTAAATTTTAATATAGATGCCATTTTTTGAAGTTTTTGTTAGAAGCTGGATAGAATTTTGTCAGGAAATTCTTCGCCATACTCTCAATCATAATTCCAAAGGAGGCTCCGCAGGACTCAAAATTGATGACATTGATTGACGTGTCTGAAAGAAAACCAAGAGAATGCCTCAAGCACTTGTTTCTAAATAATTCAATGCTTTCTAAGTGCATCTCGATTGTCAAGACATAAAAACTGACCCGAAGTCAGTTCTGCTTTTTATACATATAAAACATTAATGCAACATTTATATCAGCACTCTATCTAGCTGCAATGAAGTATGTGTAATCTAAGGCAATTTTTAAGCAATGGTTTTAAGAGGGAAACCGATTATGCATATAATGTGAAGAGGTGAGGTCGACCGCATCTCACGATATCTGAATTACTATGCATATAGCGTGAATCAATTCTCTTTGAATACGCTAAATCAAACAAAAGTCCTTGAGCTATTTTAAGTGAGAACTTAAGTGAGAATAGTAAAAGAAAAGTTTTACCAAGATCGAGCAAATTAATGTAACATTTAGCTACTATTATTGTCATTTTCTCTCAATTGTAATTAAATTCTGCTTCTATTAATCAAATGAGGAAGCTAAAATCAATATTTGGAAGAGAACAGAAAATTCAAAAAATTTGCAACCATGTAAATAGTGACCCCCTTAGTAAAGTACAGTACAAGAATTAAATTGATAAGCTCAAAAATAATTTGCAATACGTTTATTATCATACTGTGTTACACATTTAGATCACAAAATACATTATTTCTAGACATATAAATACTAGGTATTTTAAATGCATGATACAAGAAGTCTTTAAAAATTCTTTAAGTATTAAAAAACAACAATGCATAAACTTTTATATAAGAATAACAATTTTGCAACATAAGAATAACACCGATCAAATACTACATAGCTTTAAATAGGAAAAGTGCTAAAGCTACTGGCAGAGACTGAGAAAAATTCCAGGTCGGATTTACAATTTAGTTACAATTCAATGACAATTAGAAGCCTCAATGAAATGCTAGTGAATTATCAGTTATCAACTTGTTAGTGGATCTTTTATTACTTTAATTATGCATTATTAATTGTTGCTTAAAGATTCAGTCTCTGTTTGATTGCATACAATATCTAAAAATTCTAAAAATAAATAGCTCTGACAACATTTAAAGAGATTAGATACAACTTTATCACAGGAAAAAAACACTAGCTACAATTTGCAGGCATAAAATAGCACAGTGTGTTTACAAAAAAAAAAAAGTGAAAGGTGTTTGATACTAATCAGTCTCTTTGGTATTTTTGGTCAGAAGATTTTGTATCGTTTAGTTCATTGTTTTGTAATGAAATGTGAGTGTTTTGTTAATTGAAATATTAAAAATGAATGCTGTAAAATCAGCATGGAATGCAAAAACAGTACAAATTACAGGATTTACACCCATTTACATTTTTAAAATGTTTGTAAACACACTCTTCCCATCTCAAGATTAAAAATTAATTTAATCTTTTAAAATAAATAAATAGGAATATATCTAAATTTTGTAAAATGTACATTCACATACATAAAAGAAGTGCACATTTTTCTTCAATTATTTCTTTTATGAGATTCACAACTGAATTCTTTGAATCGTATTTATCTTCATTTGAATTTTAGTTAAAATGTTTTTACAATATTATTAAATTAATAAATAATAATAAAACATTATTTTAAAATTAATTTAGCAAAATAAATCAGAACAAAAATGCAACAAATTAAACAATTTACATTTGAGTTCAGATTCATATTTCATATTTAAACTTACAAGCACAAGCAAACAGCATCCATGAAATATTATAAAAACAGTTTTCTTATCTTAGATTTGAATTTGACAAGAATACTATGTTTTAATATTAAGAAGATAAAAGATTTTGCGTTTCCTGCACACAACAACTTGAACTAATCTACATGTAAATGTTCCCAATTTTGAAAAAATATAATTATTATTCACATTAGGCATGAGTTTGTAATAAGTGAAAGATTTACGACAGTTATTTTGGATAATATTTTACTAATTTTAGAAACTTATTTTCCCCCTCAGTTTGAAAAAGCCGAGCGAGTTTCGGTTGTGTATGAGTGCCCCTAGGCCAATGTAGTTCTCTAGAATTATCGGATTGCTTTCAACGAAGCATTGAGATTTTTTTATCTTCTCATCGAGGACTTTCGTCAGATGGTCTGTGAACACTTCTACATTGTACATATCCCGTCCACTGTTTGATGAATCTTAAAAATAAACTTTAGTTCAATACAGGTTACCTTTTATATTAAATTATAGTGTAAAACAAGTACCTGCATGCCATAAAAGAGGGTGTGAAGTGAATGTATTGAATGGAATGTCTTTTTCAAAAGGGTTCCATTTCTTGACGAAAGGAAGAGGTCGACCGCCATTCCACATTGTTCTGACACCAGCAATTTTACGGGTCCTGAAAATTAAAAAAATTAAATGATAGAAAGCCATCACATTTATTTTAAGGTATTATGAACCTTGGTGAGAAGCCAGAATCAGTGGGTAAAGCACCTTTCTCAACAGGCCATTTTTTTTCTAGTACTTTTACCAAGCAGCCTTTCATCAGATTGGACACACCAGTAGCTATACCATCAATATGCCTAAAAATCAAACTAAATTATGAGATTTCAAGCTAGAATAAATCAAGTCAAACTCACGGTATCAAAGAAACCGGAGGATAGTCAAGATCTCCTATGACCAATGTGTCGATAATGTCTAAAGGAATTTTTCTGTGCTTTAAAACTTTCAATGCGATGAAATCATATTTGACAGAAATCATACATTTCGTCGTAAGAATGACGATTCTTTCCATTTCGTTATCCCATGAGCTGACCCTAAAATTATTATTAATTTATGCCATCCTTGTTCTTGAAAGAAGTGTTGTATGCTCACTCAGTGAGAAGCCATGAGCCAATGAATTCACCATCTTCGCTGTCAGAGATGAGCTCCTTTTTGGTCTCTTCAATGGCCCTGATTAACAAACCTTCCCGGAATGAGAAAAAGTCCTCAGCTTTGTCTCCTGGCCATGGAACTTGGGCCACCTGACCTGAAAAATACAGCGATTCTTATTTTTCTCACAAATTAATTTGATTTTTAATAATCTTTATTATTTATTGTAGTTGTTGAAGATTAAAAACAAATTATTTACATTTTAATATTTTGTTATCATACTATTTACATCTATTATGCCCTGAAGTCTTGCTGCATCGAGGATTGTTGTGGGCTATTTCAGGTCCAATTGATCCCATTCTTGTAATATAACATAGCTGATGCTTTGAAGAAATTTTATTTTTTTGTACCTTTAAGTCCAGCAAGGTGCATTAGGGCTGGGATTTACGTTGAATAGTTATCTTGTAGAATAAAAAAATAGAGACTGATTTTGCCTCTCATTTTGTGAATTTTTTTAAAATATATATATTTGAGAAAACTTGTGGCTACTCAGAACGTCGTGTACATAGGGCTGGAACCCATCTTTATGGGTTACTCTTATCCTTTTGCAATTTCATTCAACTCAATCCATGAGAACGCAATTTAACCACACGAATGCGTAGGGATAGGGTTCGGGACAAAAGAAGTTGCCACAAGCCTTCTGCACCTAAACCTCAGTTTATGTACTGTAATCCTCTAATTTGATAAATCACCAGCTAGCTTCAGGTTGTTTGTTAATCAATCTTCAGTGAAGGATCTTGCTTGTGACTTTTCCTCATTAACTAGTTACATACTCTTTTTTCTGGCAGTATCTGCACAGTTTTTCTTAGATCTGCACTCCTTTCTTGTACATGTGCCTTCTCAAGCAGCAGTGCGTTGCCAGGAGTAAAACCAGTATCCTGGTTCTGTTGCATTCTAAGTCTTGTGGATGGACCTTCTATGAATCTCTTCATGTGCCCCATGCCTCGGGTATTGTTCCATCATGTTTTGGACTCATTAAGGAGCTATTTTCTGTAGCAAGGTGCTAGGCAACATAGAGTTCGGGTCTAGAGAATTCATATTGGCTCCTTTTTTTGGCCAACATATCTGCCCTCACATTGCCTCTATGTCCCAAATGCCCAGGGACCCATGCCAGGATCAGGCCCTTGATGTCGCTAACTTCTACTAGGGATATCATACAACTCCATTTGTTTTTTGCCTTTACAGGCTAAAGCCATAAGTGCCGCCTTAAGTCTTGAAAAAATGGCTATCTTCCTGGAATAGTACTCCTAGCTTTTTTCATTTCTCTGGCTAGTGTTCAATTGCTATAATTTCAGACTGGAAAACTGTCTAATGTTTCTTACTGTCAAAACTGTGTCTAATCTGTCTAAGTTTAATGTCTGACTTCAGATTCATCCCAAAGCATCCAATTCCCATTCCTCTATCCATTTTTAGTCATTACTATACCAGTAGGAATTGGCCTTCAGAGGTATTCTTTTGGCCAACTACCCCTTCACCAACTAATTGTTTCTAACTAGCGCAATAAAAACAAATATAAAATCCATCCCACCGATTTTTTTAAATTTGTCCCAATTCCTACTCAAAATCGGAGGTCGTACTCAAATCTTTATTCAAAACCCAGTTTTGACCTAAAATTGCAAGATTGTACATGTCTGTCTTAGTGCTTCCTTTCGTTGAAAGTTTTATTAATATTTTTGCCCTTTTGAAGAATTGCGCCATCCTCATTTTCTTTTGTTTGTTGACATGGTTCTTGCAGATGGTTAACCATTTATGACCCTGTAAGCCGCTGCTCTGGCTTCTCCTTGGATAAGAACTTTCAAAAATAGTGGAAGGATACCAAGTATAATGAATTTAAATAATTAATACGGTCAATTATGACTACTAAATACATTAATATAATATTGCAATTTGTTCCAAGTGAGGTTTGGTCTTTATAGAACCAGTGACTAGGAAACTTCACAAGGAATTTTTCATTTTTCTTACCCCATTTTGATGTACGTTAACTCAAATATGACAGAATCAACAAAAATAACCTTTTGAAAAATCGTAGCAGGACGAACTGTTGATGACATTTCCGTTTGGCTGCAGTGTACAGTCGTTGTCGTTCTTCGAGTCCAAGTTTAGTTGGAGGGTGGCATCGTTGAAAGCCTTCTCCTGAGCATCTTCAAAGCTCGTGTGCAATTCTACCTCTTTCATTTTCCTTTATTTCCAACGCAGAATATGACGCCGATAACTCAACTGATAACTGATAACCTGTAGCATCAACAGCTAAGTAGCACACGGGCCACGGATAGCGCTGCAGGTAAAAGTCGATAAATTTCTTTAAGATGAAATTCGAGTAACGAGCTCTCGACAATTTTACAGTTGTAAACCCAAATTAATAAAAGTATTCCTTAAGGAAATGATGAATTTAGACTCAATGGTAATGAGTATTATAATACCAAGTACAGAAAATTTGTGCTTGATATGACGTCAAAAGAGCGCTTCATTCGAACTTAACATGGGAATCTGTACGAACTAAACTGCTCAAAAATGAAAAAGGATATTTGTAATTTATTCTTATTCTATTAATTTTAATTAAATTAATCGATAGATTGTTAGTTGGATTAAAAAAATAGAAAATATAAACCAAAAACAAACAAAGGTTAATCCCCATTTTTAATAACAGATTTACTTAAGAATAGTAAACATAAAGATTACTCATTTTGTAAACAAACACTTTTTCTCCTCTTTTCTTCATTTTCATCCAGTGGTATTAACTTTAACCATGGAAAGACATCATCTTGAACGAGAGAGAAGTTTGCAATATTTTTGTGAGAAAGAGTCATCGAGTTCACCGGCAAGTGGACATCGTAGAGGCAGTTGGGGGTTTTACTTTAGCCAGTTTTAAAAACTTTAGCCCGATTCCGAGAGACTGGAAGTGCAATAGGAGCCTGGTAGTGGATCTCTGCACATTGACGCTAGGGAGAACAAAAATATTGTCATTACTGCAAGATAGTACCAAAGGAAAGCTATAGAGACCACCAGATCCTAAATGAAGCACAAGAAGTTTTGGCAAGACCTTTAAATATCAGTTGGCCTCACGTCGTATACCCCTTTGCAGCAACAGCTCGCCACCAGCAACTCAGGAGAATATGGTGTAGTGAGCGCCTAGAAGAGAAAACCAATTTCAATACTGATGAAAAAATATATATAGTCTGTATCTGTAATAGATGTAGGCCTGTAGAAGGCGCCGAAGAGTATACCGAGAACAGAGGATGCACACAATTCCCTAGTTGGAGCTCCCTTCAGTGCGGTTTGGAGGAGGCGGTGTCTGGCCTGTGATTTACACTGGAGGACAAACTCGACTCCATATTGTTAAAGGCAACCTCACCGCAGTCCGTTATATCCAATAAATTATCGAGGAATGCATTCTCAAACCAGGGATTTCATTGGCAGGGATTTTCGACTGCTGGATTGCAATGCCAGACCTCATGAGGCAAAAGTTGTTCATCAATGGTTAGAAAACGTGGGAATTTCCCATCTGCCTCTTCCCCCATTGTCTCCAGACCTCAATCCCATTGAGCACAGGTGAGATGCTTTGCGGAGAAGGCTTTTCGATCACCATCCGCAGCCAGTTGACCTGCATAACTAAGTGCAGCGGTGCAACATTTACGGAGTGAAATTCGTACTGAAAGTGACAATCCTATTAACAATATGCCTAACAGGTGTACGGTGTTTTAAAAAAAATTACAAAATTAAGGAATTCAAACCTTTTATTTTGTTGTTTTTTCAAAACCCCTTAATTAAATTTTCTTCAGTAAAAATATAATAATTTCCAAAAACTTTTAAAGCAATTTATAATTAAAAAAAGAAAAATTCTAGGGAAAATAAACTTTACAAATTTCACAATATCCCCTTCATGTTTGAGCAGTTTATGAATGGAAAACCAGCTTTGGTTTATGAAATACAGATAGAGGTATTCTTCGAGTACTAGAAAAGAAACATTTTGGTTCAAAGAGTGATTATCACTGTTCTAAAAACATTCTTTTAATTTCTTAAGTATTTTAGAACATATGACTTTATGGGGTGCTCAATTATCACTGCTTCCAACGAAAATATGTACGGTTTATCATGAAAATTAAGAGTTCACGTTGCAGCGAATAACAACTTCTGATCGGTTTTCATTGTAAAAGACAATTAGGACAGATTATAAAGTTCATCACAAACCAGTGTACAAGAAAACCTGAAACTGTCTGAATTAAGGTGGTTTCTTATTCCGCGGCGAATTACTCTCTCTGATTTACAAGCCATGGCTAGAAAAGAGACTCGAATGTTGATATATATTTTTATTTACAATAAGTAACGGCTTAAGCCTTTTACATAAATGAAATAAAACAAAACTAATCAGGTTTCGAATATAAACTCATAGATAACACTAAACATAAGTTAAATACAAATAATAATTGAACGGTGAACAAAAGTGCAAACAAAATTAATAAACGAGATGAACAATATTATAAACAAGAATCTAAAGAAAAATTAAGATGAAACATTAAAAACACGTTTTTAAGTACCCAAAATTAATGCACCACCCTTAAATTTTAATGAATTTAGGTTTGTTTATTCATATTTTGCGTACCAAAAATAGGTTTGGTTGTAAAAATAAGACAGTTGAAAAGAAAATGTTTTTTTTTTTACCTAATTCTAAAAAACAATTGTTGATTGAGTAAAGAACAAATAAATAAATAATAAATAAAAATTAAAAAATTCAGAATCAAATAAAAATGAAAACAAAATTGTTGCCTCCTTTAGTACTGAGTATTTCCATCCCTGGCATAAATCATGTTCGTTAATCGCCTTTGCATTCCTTGGAAAAGATTTCTAGTAAAAACCTGAGGATTCTTTCCCCTTCATCAAGAACAGAACATCCAACTCTTCTAAGGTGTTAGGGACCTGAGTTCGCCGTCGTACCCGTCACTTAATTGGTCCCAAATTCGTTTGATTGGGTGTTGACCACTCCAAGAACTCAGTTCCAACCTCATTCAGGTAGTCATCAACAATACGTGATCTATGGGGCCTGGCATTATCCTTTATTAGCAAAAATCTCCCATCAAAGTTATGGAGTAACAAAACGCTCCTCAGACCAACACGTCAGCAAAGTCTGGCGGGTTCAGACGCCCGCCCATCATCTTAATCAGCATTTCTTTAAAATACATAGAATAAAAACTCTAATCCCCACATATCCTTGTCTTACTCGTACAAGGTACGGGCCTTCTGCCCGTCACTCTGTCGGTTTAAACTTAAACATTGTAGAGTTTTGACAATAAAGTTTCTTCTTTTTTTAATAGTCTTCTCCGAACGTTTATTTAACTTCGATGTCGGGGCAAATGGCACTACTTACATCACATCTGCAAAGAGAACTCATCCCCAATCTTCCAATGGCCAATTCATATGTTCTAACCTGTCTCTTCAACATGTCCCATAAGTGTCTATATTTATGTCAGGAGAACAAGCTGGCCAATTCATTGTGCAATCCCTATCCTCCAAGATTAATAACTTGAGTTACATGCGGTCGAGCATTGTCATGCATTAACACAAAATTGTCCCCAATAAATGGAGCGAATAGGACCACAGCTTCCAGAAGAACTTCCTCACTGTACAGCAGTTAAAGATCCACCCTGTGTGATAATCATTTCGGCATGGGTACGGAGGTTGAACCCACCCCATACCATAAATTACTGTCTTTGGAAACGCTGTGATAGACCCAACAATCAAAGCGTACTCCTTCACAAACGATCCGGGTCATCTGATTGCCATAAAGCAAACTGGCAATCATCTTTGAATTGGCCCTCATTCTTCTAGTTTCCAAGCGTGATGCTGATTTTTCAACAGTCGTCTTTCTACAAGATGCTTCTTCAGCAGTAGAGAGCCTCATGCAGGGAGCTATCCTCACAATGCCTTCTGATGACTGTTTTAGAGGTCACTTTTATCTTACCTCGTTTGGAGTTGCCTTCTTATCAAGGAAGTCGTTAAATGTAAGAGCAATAAAACGATCGACTCTAGCCGTCGTACATCGCATCGTCTCCTCATTCTCTTCGATCGAGACTTCCAGTTGCTCTAGGTGGTAGCGCGGCACATCCAGGACTTGGAAATGTAACGGACGCTACGTCGTTGACCAAAGCATCTGTCCGGGCTAGATCTTTTTGACTTAAAATCATGGTTTTTAAGAGAAATTTTTTTTCTCAAATTTATTGTTTTGTCAAATAAAACCATTTGAAAAATAATTTAACTTTCTCAACAAGTTGGCTCTGGAAAGGATAAAATTAAACTAATTTTCTTTATTTTTAATATAAAGAGTCTAATTGTAAATTATTAATGTGGTGGTTACGTTTTAAGTCAACTGCGCTAAGTGTCCGGTTTTTGTCTTTGAGGTATGTTATTGCGAAATAACATACCATATTACTGTGATGTTAATGCAACAGTTGAATGTTTTTGGGGGTAGGAGTATAAGCAAGGATTTCAAACTTTTCTTCACCCAGACCTATAAAGGTCTATTTGGAACACCTATCATTAAGACCACACCTTGAAAAGTGCCCTTGTCTCACAAAGCTAAGCAATTTCCTCAGTACCTCTTCCCGCACTTCTATTGGTGCTAGAATTGCCTTACCGAAGTAGCTATACCGTACACGGACTAATGCCTCACATTTCCAAAAGATATCCCCTATGTCTCTGGTTTCTCTTCATAGGGTGGGTATGTTTCAGTCTTTCAGCCTAGGCTTTGCCTGTCTTGAGGTGGTAGTTAAAAAGGCAACGGTCGGTAAAAAGGCCTATAATTTCCCCCATATCTTGCCTGCTGAGAGGGAGGAACATTTTCGTCTTCGTTTTTGAAATATTAATTAATTTTAGCTTCATAAAGCCTCATACCTTTGTGTTGTTCTGTATTTAAGTTTTTTTCAAGCCATTTTTCCTGCTTCATCTGTAGAAAGTTTTACTGTTTGCTAAATTATGGTACCGGTCTCAAGGGTGAGCGAGCTGTCCCTCCGTTGGCTAGTTGGTCAGCGTTTTAGTTTCTCACTTTATGTCCTTCAACTCAGATCACGGTAACCTTGTTTTGTTCTGCTAGGGCCATTAGGCAATTTAGGCACTCCTAGAGTAGCTTGGAGATAAAAGTACAGACAACTAATGCTTTTATAGCTGCCTTACTCTCCGAACTGATGTTGATTCGAACATTGTTGGGTACGTCAGAACTAAAACTTGTGTACAACAGCGGAGCGAGTATTGACCCTTGTGGCACACATGCAAGCACTTCTCTCATCGCTGAGGTCTCTGATCTTTGGTTTACTACGAAAAATGTCTCCTTAAGGTGTGAATATATAATCAAATAATAAGACTGAGATAAAAACAGTTTTAATTTATCATATTTTACATTATATAATATGTAATAATCATATTACACTTTATAAAAAAGCCTGAGGAATATGTAAAAAACACCCCAGCCGCGTACAGTTTTGGCTCGAGACTTGAAGTTCATTTATTCAACATTTTAATTAAACCGTATTTTGAGTTGGATCGATATAAATTTAATTATTCTTTTCAAACGAGTTATTAATATTTATCTTTTCTTCTTGCTTTTTGAAAAATTTAAGCGAATAGCGATGATTAGTTTATAATAAAAAACTGATGCCAAAGAGATGGGCTCGCTTTCAAACGTCGGAAATTAATAACAACCATTGGAGACAAGGGAAGAATTAAAATGTTTAGTCCAATTTAAAGCTTATCAAAAAAGCAAAACACATTTTTATATATTATATTTTATTTTACACATAGCCGAGTTATAATATTGGGTTGTCCGGAAAATAATGCAGGATTTTAAGTTTTCATTAAAAAAAATCTATATAAAATATTCTGTTTACGTTTACAGGATTACTCATTTGTATGAATGTCAACACTTATTAATCCTCTTCCAAATGATATTGTTTGTTTACCTCTGTAGCATTCCGCTACTTGGAAATAATTCAGTCATCCTTATAATGTCAAAGCGAGAATTTCGTACGATTTTCTTTTACGAGTTTAAACTCGGCCGAAGCGGAGCCCAAACGGCTAGAAACATTAACCAAGTCTGGGGCGAGGGTTGTGTTAATGAGTGCACTGTGCAAAGGTGGTTTAAAAAATTTCGGGAGGGAGATTTCAGCCTTGAAGATGAAGAAGGTCGTGGAAGGCCTTCCTCTCTTAATGATGATGTTCTGCGATCAGTGGTGGAAGAAAACCCCAAAACAACTGTTCGAGAACTTGCAGAGCAACTCAAAGTCAGTAAAACGACCGTCGCTGACCACCTCAAGGCGATTGGAAAAGTGAAAAAACTCGAAAATTGGGTTCCACACTCATTAAACGATCGCCAAAAAAATCAGCGCTTTGATGTTTGTGCATCACTTCTTTGTCGAAACAAAAATGACCCATTTCTGGCCAGAATTGTTACATGTGACGAAAAGTGGATTCTCTACGATAACACTAGACGTTCTGGACAGTGGCTCGACAAAGGAGAAGCTCCAAAGCCCCCAACTCATCAAAAAAAGGTAATGGTTACGGTATGGTGGGCTTCATTTGGTTTAATACACTACAGCTTCTTAAATCCTGGCGAAACCATCAATGCTGAATCATACTGTAACCAAATTAATACCATGCATCAGAAATTGGCAGTAATGAAGCCCTCTTTGGTCAATCGGAAAGGGCCCATTTTGTTGCATGACAACGCTCGACCACATGTGTCACGTGTAACGTCACAAAAATTATTGGAGCTTGGCTATGAAACTTTGCCTCACCCACCCTACTCTCCGGACCTCTCGCCTACTGACTACCATTTTTTTAGACACCTGGACCACTACTTACAACACATAATATTCAAAAATCAAACGGAACTGGAAAATGCATTTATTGACTTTATCAATTCTAAAAATTCTGAATTCTACTCAGACGGAATTAATAAGTTACCAACACGTTGGGAGAAATGTATTGAGAGTATGGGAAATTATTTTGATTAAAGAACATTGCTTTAAAGTAACTAGTTTCTTTTTTTTTTGTTTAATACCAAAATCCTGCATTATTTTCCGGACAACCCAATAATATAATTAGATAAAATTTTCTTTACTATTTAATTACATACATCTGAACAAGATAAACACTAGTGTTTTTTTACATAACATCAACTATTTTAACATATTTATTATTGTCCATACGTGTTGGGCATGGGTTTTTTTATATTCATGTTTCTGTTTTTAAATACGCACTTTTTATAATGTTTATACACATAGCTCTATCAATAACACTTTTCGTTATTCTACCTTTAAACTTGCAACACGATATATTTGTACAAAATTTTGAGGGAGATTTTACATTAGGCTTGGCTGATGACATTGTAAATATTAGTACAATTTATAATACATAGCATATTTCACAAATATACCCATATTCCTTCCGAACTTGGGGTTATCATTGACATATATATCTGAAAAATATATATGAACAATTTTAATAAATATAACAACTAATTGTATAGCGTTTAATACATTTGATAAATTACAAATATATGCATATTTAATTATATATTTTATTATATAAATTATAACCATTCATATATGTTTCTGAGTTAATAAATGTTTTTCTGACTTTTTTAGTACTATATACATGCTCTGTACAAGGTGTTTCTCTCTTTTCTTTTTATTATTTACATTAGAGTACAAATTAAGATAATTCAGGGGATCACGAATGCACATGACTCATACGGAACCTTTCTCCTAAAGTATAAAAAATAATTTATTACGGTGAGGGTACTGGCAATACGATATTTACATGCAATATTTATCTATAGCGTCTATAAGAACATAGATTATCAATACAAAAACATTTATACATTGTGGTGTTTGTAGCTTAGCTATATTATTAAACTCTACAAATAGATTTTTAATGAGTTGAAAAATAACATCTAAACGTATAAGATATACTGTTATAACAATTCATTATAATGCTATATAATAATACTTCATAATAGCGTAACAATCACAATTCCGCTTACTAAAAAAAAAGTAAAATTAAAGATATTTAGTAATGGCAGTATTGTACGAAATTCAACTTATCACATAGAAAACCTTCAGCGCTCGTTTCTCTTTTCGCTTTCTTCTTCTTTTGCACTTTCTGGAATTATGCTGGTATGGAAATTGAACGGGAAATTGATATGTATTCTTTGCAAACAGAATGAAAAAAAATCTCTAATGATGATGTTCATGTGGCAATTGGGGAAAATGAGTAATCGGCAGATCCCGTCACTCCCCTTGGGACTCACCGGGGACTGACGGCATCCTGAGTGATGAAAGTTGCGCAAGGAAAATGATGATGGCTTATTGTTCTCGGCTTTTCTGACTGTCATCCCCCATCCATTCTCCTGTCCTTCGTCCACTGAAAAACATCATTTCTTGCTCAGTGAATTATGGTGTTGAGAGACATGCTGAAGTGCTATTATTGAAACAATTGACGTTAATGGAACTTTAATGTATTTATCATGTAGTAAGCATTTTTTAATACATCTTAATTAGTATCGACACGATAAATAATTAATGAACCACAAATTACACCACATTGACTCAGCCACTTAAGGGCTGTTCGGAGTATCATACAATTCTTTCTTCTATTATAAATCTTAGATTATCCTTAGCAATTTAAATCTAGTAAATCTGCTTTACTGTTTTATAATGGATTTTTGATGACGTTAATAAAAACTAAAGGCAGGTTACTGGGAGGAAAAATAGTTATTGCAACATCTGAGGGTTTTTTTACTAAATGAGAGAATTATATGTTACGAATTAATATGTTTAAACATAAAATGCCTCTCCCTGATTGAAGGTATGTAGTGATGGTCGATTCAGGAGGAATTCCAAGGTAGTCGTTTTCTTTGCCTCAGTAATGCTCAGGCACGTAAGGCAGTAATGAGGACCGCCCTCATTTATAATGTCTTTGTCGACCTAATCACCGATCCGTAGGTTATCAAGGGTGCCAACAACCATGTATGTAGGGATATCTTTAAATTTAAAGATGTGAGGAAGTTTTATTCATTTTGTACTTAATGCAACATACTTCATGCAAATTCTTTACTTAAAAAGCACTGATTTATATAAGCTTAAGTCTGCGTACGCATATATACATATTCGCGTGTACATAGTTGAGCCTTTCACTTCTTGCAGTCCACAGGTAATCCAGTTTTTGTAATTTGCAATAAATTACAGGCAAGTCTCGAGAATCATCCACCCCGGATACTGGCACTCCGGGTTCAGACCTCGGTCTTGACCGCCACGGGCTATCAACAGTTACGTAATTTGAGCCCCCGACGCAATCAATTCCTAAATTCATTCACACTCACACTTAAAAACATTTTTTCCTATTTACATACCATTCATTCAATTAAGGGGGATGGAGTTCTCAATATTCCTCCATCACTCTTTTCATCGATTGTATAGCTAACCTAATCGAGGGTCGACGGGTACTCGATATTCCGCTATCGGCCCTCTTACCCTACACATTCACACCAATAAATACATTCACTCTTAATACGCACTCATCTTGTAGATTGTGCAGATTATCTGAGGAGCTTTTTTGTTACTATATTTGGATAATTCCTCTTTGAATTTAGTCTCCAACTTTTCCCAACAGCGGCGTTTACTTCTACCAATGGCAATTTTCGCTCTTTAAGTGAAGACAGTTATTTGTTGATTTCAAGAAAGTCAAAAGATAATAATGTCAAAGATTACGCCTAGATATTTTAATTAGAGAAAATAATTACACCTTCATTTAGCACAAGTGGCTTAAGTCCTCCTCCTAGTGCCAAGTTTGTGGTGAAAAGAACCAAACTCGGCCTCTGGTTGGAACTTGGCAAAACTTGGCCGGAATGGAAATGGCCTCTGAAAAAGCATCTGATACGCTGAATAATAGAATCTATTTAACACATATTTCATTAGAATACCGACTACTAGAGCTTTGCTGTTACTGTCAAACTTCCTACGTACAGATTTCTTACTGGCTATATTCTTTTCTTCAAAGTTTGGATTAAAAACGTTGTTTTTGGTATATCATCGTCATTTTATATAGCAATACGAATAAAAAAAAACATATAGCAACACCAAAATAAATAAACCTACAGATAGATCACATGCTAAAAAAGCATTTTAAAGAATATTCGGTAGAAAAATTTAGAACATGCTTTATTGCATTCACAAAATATATTATTTTAAATTTATATCTTAACAAATATCTTAAACTTGACAAAACCGTTTGAATTAATTCATAGTTATTTACAAAATTAATGAGTACTTTTTTATACATGTTATATTATTTATAACAATATTTTTTAGTAAGTTCGTTTTCAAACGGCTTCTGCAACATAATATATAAATTGGGTTATGATGGGTTCTTAAAAATCCAACTGTGTTATCATGTTTCTTTGATTTAAAAGTTAAGAGAAATGTTATTTCGTTTAAAGCATTTTAGTTACAAAATGCATTATATACAAGTATGGAAAATTGAATCGCTAACTTAAAATTGACCTTCTGATTTATAATATATGCATTATGTTTTCCAGTACTTGTCTATTATTTTCGTTCATTCCGAAATCTCTTTCTTTCGCTAATTTTCCAATTTTCTTTTCCATTTTTATTTATTTTTTTAAATGGGGAAAAAGAGGGTCCGCTAAACAGTTAAACATCAAGTTCCTTAGGTTGTAAATCTATTACTTTCCCAACATGTGTGGCATTATCACGATTTTACTTTTGATCACCTACTTTATAAATACGTTGTTATGTAAAAGTTTGTATAATGATTGTTTTAAAACGAAAAGAAAATAGATTGACGCGGATGGCGTCAAATAACGTGACTGAACTCTGTTTGCATGAACGGTAAAAAAATTCAATTTTTCTCTATTTTTCTCGCCCTCTTACTAAGCTTCTGTCAATTTTGTGCTCTATTTTAATTCTGTATAAATTTAACAAGTGATATTGTTGAAACTATACTTGATTCTGCATACCCAAGAAGAAGAATTCAGTCTATCTCCTCGGTCTCGAGTGACTAACTCCACAGAGGATCCTCTTAAACGCCTGCCTGAACTCTGGGCTGAATATCGTGTAAATAACGGGGTTGAGGGTGGAATTGAAGTATCCTAGCCACAGGAAAAGCGAGGCCAAGTAATCGTTGATGTAACACGTTTCGCACAGTGGCATGAGCAGGGCCATAATGAAAAACGGCAACCAGCATACGACGAACGCCCCCGTGATAATGGCAAGCGTTTTGGCAGCTTTACGCTCCCTTTTCGCCTCCATCGTCTCCTTCTTCGTCTCCCGTTTCGTCTTCTGCGGCAGGGCGGGAGCAGGCTTGGAGTTGTTGGCCGGCATTTCGGCAGTGGACCTGAAAACATTCGGATACTGTTAGAAATGATTTCTATCCTAATTTAAAAAAACAACCGCATGATTAATTGGACCAGTAAATTAATTTAGTTTTGGTAAAGTTAAAACTAAGTGAATTATCATTTTTATTATTATTATCGTTTTTAAATTTATGAAATAAATTTCATCTGGTCTTTGACGGTGTCACCAGTACTACACCCAGAGGAAACCAGCCAACTCGTAAATAAGAGAACTGACGCCGTCAATATCGCGAATATCGTAACTATCATGGAATACTGTAACATCTCAAAAAAGTAGTATTGTCGGAAATGACTTGTGAAGTTTTTACTACTTTTTCTGTGGTATTCGAGTCGTTCATTTTAGTCTGTTGATAAAATGAGCATATCACAGTCTGTTGTAATAACAAACTCATACGATACTCTGTATTTTAGTGAGTTTTCTCTCGTTTGTTATCTGTTGTACTTTATCGACACAGGTAATGCGCCGTATGTGAGAAGTGTTTCCCCATCATGACACATTCAGAGCAGGGGTGCTGATTTGCATCCTCAGTTTTTCTTGCTATTTTTGTGCACATCATTAAAGATCATGACGCTTTCTTGACAGTGGTACCTCTATGTTCCTTAAAAGCCAGTGCTTTGTCAAGTGCGACGCCTTAACTTTAGGCTTCTTTCTTTATTTTTATCACATTATATTAAGTTTTATTTGCCGTTTCTTTTCTGAATAAAAGCGGCTATGGTTGTTTTGTTAGGGATAACCCTTGATCGAGCGGTTTTCCACCATTAACCTGTGATTTTTAGCTCTACATTACTATGTCACATGGAGTTTCATCGAATTGTCTTTTGATTCAGTCAATTCATTTGATGAAGTCAGGACAATATCGCCCGCATAGCCCAGGCACATTATACCTTTGAGGTTCAGAGCGGATAGGTTGGAATTTTTTAAATTTTTTATTTTTACATTTTTATTTTATTTCCTGACTTGCTAATCATACCATTACTATAAAACACTAAAACAAAATGAAAGACTATGCAGTGTCACAGAAAAAGTGTAACAACTTAGAAACAAATGTGTATGTAATCGCTCTATGTCGGAAGTGAGTCTGAATTATTACAATTTTACACAGACGTAACAGGCCCCTATAATGGCACACTGTAGGGGGTGGTTGGCGTGGTGTTCCTCAAACAATGTTGATCAATTTCTGAATAAAATGGCGTAACAGACTTAAAATAGCCAATTTTCGAGATGGTTATTTACCGACGGGTGCGGCCACCTTAAGCTACAATCCTTGACTTGGTCAATAGGCTGGATCGATTGGATGATTATTTTTGAATTTCTGGAGGGGAGAAAGGATCAATTCGTTCTGAAGGTTCAGGTCAATCTGGACAGTAACGTAGTAATGAAGCTGTGATAATTTCTTTTAGGGCGTTTGATTGAATGCTGGTTGGCTTGGCTTGGCATAACTCATAAGAGATTTCCGCCCTAAATATCTTCGTAGTTCTCCAAATCTTCTATTAACTCTTTTCTTAATTTTTCTGATGGAATTCCACCTGTTCATGTCGGAAGTTGCATCTACAAACCAACAGTCCAATGTACAACAATAGTACTTATTTTTGTCATATTATCTACTTTGCTTTGTTTGGTTAAGCGTTATTTGATCATTTATTGATCTATTTAGATTAGTACAATTTGATGAATTTCTATTTTAATATTTTTCATTACCGTAGCTTGTTTGAAATTTGTAAACAGTTCACACTCTGTCGTTAGAAACGTATTTTACTTTAAATTCTAGTACATTGTTCTCTCAGCATTGACAGTAAAGAACAAATATACATCCTTAAAAGATAAAAGCATACCAGCACCAGTGCTTTACCAATTTGCATAAGGGTGCAATTATAACAAGATACTCGACAACAAACTTGAATAAGCGAGGTGTGTTTTTCAATTAGATAACGAGATGTCTTTGTTGTCTTAACTTCAAAAACTTCACTGTTTTTTTAAGTGTAGCTTATTATGCTTAAATATTTTGATATTTTACCTATCAGGACTCACTGCACCGGAGCCGTGGTTGGTCGTTATCGTGAAAGCTGTCGTAGCTCCTTCGCCACTTCCACCTTTTTCTGTGTCAGTCTCGCAGACCGAACCCTCCACTAGTGCCACCTCACCTTTCTTGCTCTCCCATTCTCCCATCAACCTAGAACATCGGCGGAAATGAACTTCCAATTACATATTCAAATGTTCTAAATCTGAAGTAACTTCTCATTTTCTCAGACAGACAGACACGTATATGACAGATACGAGCTAACTAGCTAATTAGGCGATTAATATATAAAAATAAAATTACGTTTTTATAAAATACCGTTGTACAAATTTTTCAAACGCTATAAATATTAATCAATTTAAAAATATCACAATTAGAAAAAAAACCGATATTGATAATAAACCAATTCAAAATCTCCAGATATTCTGATTTTGTTTTTCTCATTATTGCAATATAAATAAGTAAACTTTTTAAATTGTCTGAAAAAAGTAGACGATTTGTTTATTTATTTTAACGAGATACATTAGATTTACTAGTAAAAGATTATTTTTTATTTATTTATTCATAACCTTGTTCTTAAATTTGTTACATTCTTCTTCCATTCTGGAGAGTGGGGCATTATAATTGAATGATAACATGGGGTAATAATCATTTTATCATTTACCTCGAAAAATAAATATTTTGAAATGTGGTTTTCTGTCTTTGTTGTGCATTTCAAGGTTTTTATATATCACTGGATTTTTTTAATATAAGATATTAAAATAAAATGTAAGCTCGTATTAATTATTAAGACAAATAAGATGTATAAAAATGTACAAGACGCTTTCAGTATAGTAGGCCAAAAAACATTTTTCCCGAAAAAACCGTTCAGATTTGTTTTGAAACCCGTAAATGCGAAATTTCATCGAAAACGAAAAGTAAGGCATTTTTTGTTGGATTTGCGGTGGTAATTTTATTCTAATTGATGAACGGTGCTGAACTCAAAAAGTCATGACATTTCTGAATTTTATCCAAATTCGACGATATTACAGCCGTTAAAAAGCTAATCTATCTTCTTTCGGACTTTGCCAATAAGGTTTTGATTTTATGCCATTGTAATGAAAAAAATAAGAATGAAATTAACAAAAAGCAATCAGATGTTTTATTTTATATCTCTAAGTTTAATTTATTTACGGATGCCTGGTTTAGGCACTTACGCGTAGTTTATAGGGCTCTCAACCCCTTAATTTCCGTGTAGATTCGGTGGAATTGTTTCAAATTTATTACCAGTTGGGTGATTTTCGAATGAACCGAAGGTGAACAATTTAATAATTATTTGCAAAAATTTTTATTCAAGTGTTTTTGGAGGGCAGAAAGCGAATATTATCTTTGTTTCTTGCAAAAAAAGTTTAACCTAGTTTGGATAAATGCAAACCGCGGGTGAGCTATTATATATAATTATTTTGTAACCGAGCGACGTAATAAAATAGGTTAAAATATTTCCTAATACGATTCAGCACATTATTTTATTAACCTAGGTAAAAAACTAATCTGGTATAGAATAACTTCGAAACACATAATTAAAAAAATTGTTAAAATATTTTCTTACGATTCCTGATGGTCATCGAGAAAAACTGTCAGACACGTGCCTACTATTTTTCTAATTAGTTTCACCAGAAGAAGTTTAATTGAAATCGGTGGTCCCACTCTGTAGCGCCCCTTGTAAGAATCACTCTCATAGATTTTTTGAAAAATTTTATAATTTTTCAACCAATCGATTTTTATTATTATCATAGGAATAAAAATAACAATATCAACAATAAAAATTTCACTTGAGGAAAAACAAATAAAACATAATCCATACGCAAAGAATAAATGGAATTTGGGAAGTTTTGTAAAAAGAGCCGGGCCACCTGGTCGGGTCAGGTTGTTTTTGGAATCCTCTTTCCGAGATGAACACAGTCTTAATCCGAGTAACTTTTCTTTTAACACAAGAGCCGACGGAATAAGAAATTATGTCACGTTTTTCCCTGAAATACCGCCGAATCCGATAAATACTTCCGTAAGTCGACAATGGTGTCGTATCCAACTCTGGCAAACACGCCCTATCACCAAACTTTTGTTTATCTTTATGGTTTAGGATTGAAACCCGCTTTCTCTCGTCCGTGATATTTTGACAGGATATCTTTCAGAGGGATTATTAAGAAAGGGGATGAAATCGACTCACATTTCACGACTGAACTTCTCACGTTTTGTCAGAATGCCATAGGAATGACAATAAAGGCAGACAATAACTTATTTTGTGAAAATTTTATAATATTTATATGTTAATGACAACTCATAATGACATTATTCTAAATAGCATAAAACTACTTTTGCATTGTATACTCTGAAAGGCAAAAAAATGGCCGCCCTTAATATTATTAATTATCTCTTACAAAATCCTCCATTGATTATTTTACAACAATAGTTGATCCGTTTAAAAGTAATAGAGGTACATAAAACACAGATAAAATTTCCCACTAGTGTTTACAATTGGAGTTTGTAAATAAATCTTTGAATAGTCAATCTCTTCTTTTCTGTAAAGCTTTTGCTAATGTTCCGGTAGTTAATTGTTTTAAGTTACCATTTTTAAGTTTCAAATTTGGTTAAGTGATGGTTTAAATGTTTCATATTCGGCCAGAGTGCTTAAGATTCCCAGACTGTCCGAAGGGAATCTTCGTATCATCGCTACCATGATACCGGAGGTTACTCAAGAAGGCATAGATCAGATTGCCATCATCTCACATCTCAAAGAGAGACGATCGCTTTATTTTCGAATTTAGTTTCGAATGTCGTTCGTAATCGACCATCTACCGCTGTTAAGGACAAGGAACGATTTCAAGAAGTTAGAAATGCTAATGTCAGTTTACGCACTGTAAGGCTAAGACTTTCAGAAGCAGGATTACGTGCGAGAAGGCCTGCCACCTGGTCCAGACCTTCTGATAAACCACAGAATATCTCGGTTAAGTTTCACAAGAAATCACATCAATTGGTTTGAGTAAGATCGGACTAAAATTTTCTTTTCGGACGAGTCAAGGTTTTATTTGAGGTCTTCTGACGGCTGAGGGAAGGTTTGGAGACCCTCTGCTCGTTCAGCAGGAGTTGTAGAGACGTAGTCCGGGAACGTAAAATAAATAGTTTTATATTTTGTTCATTTTTAGTATTGAGGTTTTGTTTATATAGTGAAATATTTCAAAATTATAAATGTTTTAAAAAATAGTGTTTTTATATGGTTTTACCTCTTTTTCGAAAAGAAGTTAAATTTTCCACCCGCCTTGCCCGCCTTCTCTGAAATCGGCTGTTTTGGCGTCCTTCGGCGTCTTATCCGTTTCCTGGCCGTCTGGAAGATCTTCCAGTAAAGGACCAGAATGACGAGGAGTGGTACATAGAATGTGGAGCATGTGGCGAAGATCTGGTAACCGAGATCCTGGGAGACGAGGCAGCGCTGCTGCAAATTGATCCGCTCCAGGTGATCGGGGTCCTTCCATCCGAACTGCGGTGCTAAGGATACCACGATCGCCAGCGTCCAGATCATGACGATCATAATCACGATACGGCTCCGGTTGCGGTTGTGTATGTAATTCACGTTCGTGACCGCCCAGTACCTGTTAACATAAATTTACACATTTTAAAAATATATTTTATTTCTTACAAATCTGACAGATAATTTTTCACAAAATATTTAGCTACCAGAAATTGAATTAGATGGATTTTTGAGTTTTCAGGACTACAGTAAAGTATTTATTAACAATTTTACTTCCAGAAAAGTGAATTTCACAATGTTTAGGCCCATTTGAGTCAGTTTTGTTTATCCACAATTAGTGGTAAGTTTGTTAACAAGGCATGCATGTTTAATTTGAGCAGCAGATAATTTGCTGAAAAATTGACATAGTTAGCCAATAATTTTGAACAACTCAACTTTAAATGGCATAAATAAATTAATTAACTTAACACACACACACACACACACACACACACACACACACACACACACACACACACACACACACACACACACACACACACACACACACACACACAAACAAACAATCTATCGCAAATAGCTAATAATATCAAATATTTGTGTTATTTGTGTGATTATGTAAAGATTAAAGAAGAATCCTCGTATATCTCATGGTAAAGTTAAGTGGCCTAATTGTTAATAAATTCGAGATTAGACATCGCCTACTCCAGTGTTGTTGGGATTCCAGGGTCAGACCTTATATTTAGGCACGGGTCATTGGGAACTATGTCACACTATACGTTCACAAAAATAAATACAATCACGCTATACGTTTAACACAATTATAAGATGTTGAACCGGAACACGGGCACTACTGGGTTTGTCTTCACTCGCGGGTTTTTTGTTTGAGTTATTCAACCGCGTTTCGGCATTACGCCATCTTCAGTGAAAAACTGTCTGTCATTTAGTCTGAGTAGTTTTTATATAGTATTGCGTCCGTCGCTTGTCGCTGGGGGCGTTGCGTTAGGGGGCGTGGTCTCCGTGCTCGTTGGTCGGTCTCGGTGGCGGTTATTTCCGTTGTCAGTTATTATTTGTGCGTTGTTGGTTTTTTGTTTTTTCCTGGTGTTGGTTGCGATGTTTTGTTCTTCCGAACGTTTTCGTTTTTTGTTATGAAGTGTTTTTAGTGGTGTAAAGGTGGTGTGTGGTTGTGAGTTTGTTTGTGCGTTTATAAGTTTTCGTCTTTAAGTGTTATTTGTTTGTATATCTCGAGGTTCTCCAGTATGTTTAGTTTTCGTCCTTTTTGTGCGTTGTGTATTAATGTCATGCTTGTTTCTATTGTGTTTGGTTCGTTGTTGTAGTGTATTAAGTGTGTGGCGAAATTTGATTTTCCGTCATTGTCTCTGAAGGATCTAAGATGTTCTTTGAATCGATCTCTTAGTTTCCTTCCAGTCTGTCCGATGTAAGTGTATCCGCATTGACATGTGATGCTACAAACACCGTTGCTGTCTAGCGGGTTAGTTGTGTCTATGTTTCTTTTTAGTAGTTTACCTGTGCTATTGTTGGTCCTTAGTGCTGTTTTCAGTTCGAGTTTGTTGAACCGATTTGTTAGTGTGTAGGTTTCTTTTCTTGTGTATGTGAATATTGTCCATTTGTTGTTGATTTGTGTTTCGTTTTTTCGTTATTTTGTTTTGTTTTTTAGAAGTTTATGTATGGTGTTTATTTTGCATCCGTTTTTTATTGCAATTACAGTTTTTCCGTATTTAAAATGTTGGTTTAATTTGAAAACATATATGAAGATGTGTCTGTTCTCGAATTGTTTTATCTAGTTTTTCTTGCCGGTTTGGTAATCTTTCCTAATTAGTTACTCAACTCAGAGCGAGAACTGAATTGAATAATTTTAATCCTCAAACAAATTAAATTTGACTTTACTTTATTCCTAACTGTACGTTTTTTTTACGTACATGTTTTTTTTTGTTTTGTGGACAAACTAATGTAGTAAAATAAAAGCATTCAATTTTATATAACAAAAATGTTACAAAATAAAACAAAAAAATCAAATCAGAAGAAGAATGCGTAAACAAAACACGAATACATTCATAAATTTTGTCCAAAATCAGTTATTTATTCGATCAGTTATCTTCTGTTTGACTGTTGAACTAACGCTTCTATGTAGTTTGGATCATAAGTCGCATTATCGGTCAAACAATGCTCCGACTGACGTTATCACCTACTTAAACAAAGTTTGCGTACGGCTGGAGCTTAAAGTGCTGTAACTTTCGGACTGACAAGCAGTGGTCGGATTTAACTTTAGCTAAGTCCGTACAGTATTCGTTATAATTTTTCGATAAGTCTAGAATACAAAACATAAACATAGACAACTTTATATGAGACCATTAATTTATATATTATACAAAGTTATTATAACATCGAATTGATTATTATTAGAGGTGTTCTGTCAGCAGACTATTGATATTTAAACACTTTTATTGATATTTCCATAATAATAATAAACTATATTACATTTACTCTATATATATATATA